CATTCGACGCGCAATTTTATTCTGAATCGAATGATAGTTAATACAATCAAAATAAAAGGATTAGGGCTAAGATAAACAAGAAAAACTCTAAATTGCCAACAAAAAAACCGACTGATGTTTTCGTCACAAATCTAGAATAGATCAAAAAACCGGAAGTTTTCTGAGCTTTAGCTTTAGCTTAAAAGAGTTTAGCTTTAGCTTTAGCTCAAAAAAAAAACCCAAAAAAAGATCGAGAGTGAGTCTAAAAATTCAGCATAAAGCTGAAAAAGCAAAAAAAAAATTCCCAAGCGGCTCATTTTTGTGCGATGACTCTTCTTTAGAAACGGGGATTTGAGGGAAATTCAAAAATCGACTCTTGTATTAGCGTATTCGGGTAATTAAACCCGTTTCCCTGGATGAAATATCGATTTTGGCTTTTTGCCAAAAATTTTTGACCGTACCCGGGATCGAACCCTTGATCAATCTCACGTGAATTTTTTTTCTGAATTTTTCAAAAATGATTAGCAAATTTTCAAGAATGACTTCCAGAACCTCGAAAAAAGTTGTCAGATTTTTAAATTCTCCATATTTAACCCGAAAATCCACCGAGTACTTGAAAATCGCAACGGTCATTTTTAAATGTCAAATTTTCGAAAAATTTTTAAATAGCTGGCTAAGATGACTTCCAGATTGAGAGAAAATTTGAAAATTTTTATCAATTTATTGGAAGATTTTGAAAAATTAAGCTCGAATAGCTTTCTTTATGAGAGAATTTATGAAAAATCAATCGAATCCTGGCGAATTTGACGGAAATTTCACTTGAGAATGGGCGCAATTTTGATGATTTACCCTGTAGAAATGTGAAATTTACATAAAAAGATCGATTTTTGATTTATAAAAAAATTTTTGACCGCACCCGGGATCGAACCCTCGATCAATCTGGCGTGAATTTTTTTCGAATTTTTCAAAAATGATTAGCTAAGTTTCAAGAATGCATTCCAGAACCTCGAAAAAAGTTGTCAGATTTTTAAATTCGCCACATTTAACCCGAAAATCCACTGAGTACTTGAAAATCTCAAAGACCATTTTTAAATGGCAAATTTTGGAAAAATTTTGAATCAGCTGAATAACATGCGTTCCAGATCGGGAGAAAATTTGAAAATCTCTATCAATTTATTGGAAGATTTCGAAAAGTCACGCTCGAATAGCTTTCTAGCTCGGGTCTACGCGTACTTTGTGCTCTCACGTAAAACGCTCTCTTTCTAGTGCACAGGGTTCTTCGATTTTCTCGCAAATCCAGTGCGCTAGAAGGAGAGCGTTTACGTAGAGCTCGGAATAAATGAAAGCAAAACAAATGAGTCGTCAAAATGTGTGAACTTTCAGAAATCCCTCGAAAATCCTCAACAATTCCCCTGGGAATCAGAATTTCAAAAATTGAATCAATTTGTGAGCTTTTGGCCCTGGAAAAGACTCAAATTTTGTCTCATGCGATCTCATAAAATGCGATTATTTTTCCGGAGTTCGCGGAAATCATTTGTTCACTCAAGAATCGAGAAATTCAGCAAAATTCAGCAAAATTCACCAAAATTCAACAAAATTCAACAAAATCTGCTTTTCTAAATGAAAAACTGAGCCATCTGGCACGCATAGAGGATCAAGAGCTCGAGAAAAAGCCAACAAAACGCATCTCACTCTCGCAAACTTTCGGTGACACGAAGAAGCTTAAAATGATCGACCAAATCGAGAAATGACAAGCCCAAGATGTTAGTCAATACAGAATTATAATATTGTCATTCTAACAAGGATCATTATGGATTTTTAGATTTTAATGCCCTAGCTTGTGAAAGTAACACGAGGACGGACACGAGCAAGTACCGCAAGTACAGCAAGTACAGCAAGTACAGCAAGTACAGCAAGGACAGCAAGTACAGCAAGTACCGCAAGTACAGCAAGTACAGCAAGGACAGCAAGGACAGCAAGGACAGCAAGGACAGCAAGGACAGCAAGTACCGCAAGTACACGCAAGTATTTTGTGAGTTCGCCCTCAGCAGTCCAGTTATTTAGATAGTCTTCATCTGGTACAAAAGTACATTGGAGAAACGAGTTGAAATCGTCCCAAAATCCCAAAATCAACCCAAAATCAAGCCAAATCAAGCCAAATCAAGCCAAATCAACCCAAAATCAAGCCAAATCAACCCAAATCAACCCAAATCAACCCAAATCAACCCAAAATCAACCCAAATCCCAATCCCAAAATGGAGTCGCACCGCCGGAGAGCGTCTTAAAGTCAACAGAAGCACCATTTTCCGCACTATTCAACGCTACGAAGCTACGGGAACAATTGCTGATGGCCGGTAGACGCTCAACTATCGTCACAAAGACAAACATCCGAATTCGGAAGAAGCCAAACCATTCGGCAAGACAGATAGCAAAGAAAATGGCGATTTCAAGCACCTCATTGCGTCGGATCCTCAAAAATAAGCTCAAGCTTACTGCTTACAAGAAAAACAAGGCTCAAAGAAGGCTATACGGGCTCGGGGCCAGTGGACGGGGCCTCTAGAATTGCCTCTGCAAAGGCGGTGACTCTAAAAATATTAGCAATCGATTTAGCATCGCCGAAAACCCTAGAAAAACGGTTGGCATTTGCTAGAGGCATCGAAAAAAGTTGTCGGATTTTTAAATTCGCCATATTTAACCCGAAAATCCACCGACTACTTGAAAATCTCAAAAATTTGAAAAAAAAAATTCCCAAGCGGCTCATTTTTTTGCGACGACTCTTCTTTAGAAACGGGGATTTGAGGGAAATTCAAAAATCGACTCTTTTATTAGCATATTCGGGTAATTAAACCAGTTTCCCTGGATGAAATATCGATTTTGGCTTTTTGCCAAAAATTTCGACCGCACCCGGGATCGAACCCTCGATCAATCTCACGTGAATTTTTTTCGAATTTCTCAAAAATGATTAGCGAATTTTCAAGAATGCATTCCAGAACCTCGAAAAAAGTTGTCGGATTTTTAAATTCCCCATATTTAACCCGAAAATCCACTGAGTACTTGAAAATCTCAAAAATTTGAAAATCATTTTCAAGGTTGGAATTCTCGAAAAATTTTCAGAAATTTCACTTGAGAATGAGCACAATTTTGATGATTTACTATGTAGAAATGCTAAAATTTACATAAAAGAATCGATTTTTGTTTTTTACAAAAATTTTTGACCGCACCCGGAATCGAACCCTCGATCAATCTCACGTGAATTTTTTTCGAATTTCTCAAAAAAATGATTAGCGAATTTTCAAGAATGCATTCCAGAACCTCGAAAAAAGTTATCGGATTTTTAAATTCCCCATATTTAACCCGAAAATCCACCGAGTACTTGAAAATCTCAACGACCATTTTTAAATGCCAAATTTTCGAAAATTTTTTAATTAGCTGGATAACATGCCTTCCAGATCGAGAGAAAATTCGAAAATCTTTATCAATTTATTGGAAGATTTCGAAAAATTATACTCGAACAGCTTTCGGGTCTACGCGTACTTTGTGTTCTCACGTAAACGCTCAAACTTGAAATCTCAAAAATCACTTTCAAAGTTGGAATTTTCGAAAAATTCTCGGAAATTTCACTTGAGAATAGGCGCAATTTGGATGGTTGACTATGTAGAAATGCTAAATTTACAGAAAAGAATCGATTTTTGTTTTTTACAAAAATTTTTGACCGCACCCGGGATCGAACCCTCGATCAATCTCACGTGAATTTTTTTTCGAATTTCTCAAAAATGATTAGCAAATTTTCAAGAATGCCTTCCAGAACCTCGAAAAAAGTTATCGGATTTTAGAATTCGCCATATTTAACCCGAAAATCCACCGAGTACTTGAAAATCTCAAAGATCATTTTTAAAGTTGGAATTTTCGAAAAATTTTCAGTTAGCTGTATAACATGCGTTCCAGATTGGGAGAAAATTTGAAAAACTTTATCAATTTATTGGAAGATTTCGAAAAATTGCAGACAGACAGGCAGCAGACACTCGAATAGCTTTCGAACACGGGTCTACGCGTACTTTGTGCTCTCACGTAAAAGGCTCTCTTTCTAGTGCACAGGATTCTTCCCTTGCACAGGATTCTTCCCTTGCACAGGATTCTTCTCTTGCACAGGATTCTTCCCTTGCACAGAATTCTTCCCTTGCACAGAATTCTTCCCTTGCACAGGATTCTTCCCTTGCACAGGATTCTTCCCTTGCACAGGATTCTTCAATTTTCTCGCAAATCCAGTGCGCTAGAAGGATTAGGTTTATGATTCACAAGTTTTGATTCACAATTGAATTCGAAAGTACGAAATTTCGAAAGTTCAATGGGCTAGAATAAGAGAGGAGTAGATTTGAAAACGAGTAAGAATTGAGAACGAGTAAGAATTGAGAATCGGATAGGATAGAGAATCGGAAAGAGTTGGGAATCGAATAGGATTGAGATCAAAAAGGCCTTTAAAAAAAACCGACTGGGGCTACCAGTGGTGAATTTATCGCATACACGAAATATATCAATCACAATACAACGACACACACAATACTAGGCTATATCTTAACTTAACCCACGTCATGACAGACGGCTCCCTAACCCTAAGCTCAATGGGGAACGAAATAGCTTTTTTGGTGGTGAAGGGAAGATGACGATGAAGGAGTGGCTTGTCACTTTAAAGAACTGGGGCCACAACCACCAGACTGCCCTCCAGAAAACCTCTCAACCTGAAGGGAAAGGAAATCCGAAGTGGGTGACCATGTCGCATGTGGGGTTCGAACCCTCGACCTTCCGATTAAGATAAAAAGACACTTAACCAGTGCTATGCTTTGAGTAAATGAATAAGACAAGATTTCTAAACGTAAATATTATTGTTCAATTTTCAATAAATCAATCAATCATTTGACAACACTTGAATCATTTTCAGTGCAGATCAATTCAGCTCGGACATCATGACATTGATGTCCGAGCTGAATTGATCAATCAAAATGACAACATCATTTGACAGATCAATTCAGCTCGGATTCTGGTGGCATGTAGTCGGTTTTCGTAACGAAATCTCGTGGTAGATGAATTCTTGAGACATTCTCGGCGGTTCTCGGGAAAATCCGTCGAAGCAAGCCACAGTGATCGGTTAGCTGAAATGCGTTGAACTTGTTGAAATCCAGAAATCCATGGATTGACGATCAATCAATGATTACAGATCTTGACTCCAGATCTTCTGCAGATCTTGACTCCAGATCTTCTACAGATCTTTATCTAATACCTGTTCTATTCGAAACACTGATTTCGTCGCTACAAAGCGGATTCCCTTGAAGAAAATCTCGTTGTGAAGTGGTCGAATGCGTGATTCGAGCTTTCTCTAAATTCTCGACTTTCAGTTTTCTATCGAACTACCGTAATCTATCGTAGCTATCGTTATAAGCACAATTATTATAAGTTATCGTATCACAACTATCGTTATAGGCACAACTATCGCTTAGTTTGTAATGCAGTAATTAGGTACAGTGCTGTAAATAATCCAAGAAAGACAGGATTCAAGAAAGACAGGATTACAGTAGCTTCTTGGGTACTCGAGGCTTTGACTAGGTCCCCTAGAGGCTGACTAGATGCTCTAGAGGCTAGATCCCCTAGAGGCTGACTAGATCCTCTAGAGGCTAGATCCCCTAGAGGCTTCACTAGATCCCCCTAGAGGCTGACTAGATCGTCTAGAGGCTGACTAGATCCTCTAGAGGCTTGACTAGATGCCCTAGAGGCTGACTAGATCCTCTAGAGGCTGACTAGATCCCCTAGAGGCTGACTAGATCCTCTAGAGGCTGACTAGATGCCCTAGAGGCTGACTAGATCCTCTAGAGGCTTGACTAGATGCCCTAGAGGCTGACTAGATCCTCTAGAGGCTTGACTAGATCCCCTAGAGGCTGACTAGATGCTCTAGAGGCTGACTAGATCCTCTAGAGGCTTGACTAGATGCCCTAGAGGCTGACTAGATCCTCTAGAGGCTTGACTAGATCCCCTAGAGGCTGACTAGATCGTCTAGAGGCTGACTAGATCCCCTAGAGGCTTGACTAGATCCCCTAGAGGCTGACTAGATCGTCTAGAGGCTTGACTAGATCCCCTGCTACCCAATAGAAGTTCTCGGATCGTGATTTGAAGCTGATCCAATTGGTATAGCTTGTTAGCATAGCTTTTTCTGTACACGTGTCAATAGAAATGATCTACACAGGAAATATTAGTATTCTTTTTACTTAGTTATTAGTATTGTCTACCTGTACTGTGTTGTCTACCTGTACTATGTTCTCCATCTGTACTGTATCCTCTATCTGTCCTGTATCCTCTATCTGTACTGTCTGTACTTTTTTGCTCACCTCAACACACGTCCACCAACCATTTTTGAAAGGTTTCTCGCATAGAGGACAGTAGGAGTGCGCTGAAAGATTGGGGAAACTTTATTGTTTAGCATTTGGCTAGAGGAATTCACACCTCACACAGCATTGCAGTCACCACAAACAAAAAAAAAAGAGATGCTTTACGCGTGAAGGCAACTGCAAACTTGCATAAAACTTATCCAGAACGCCTTAAAACTTATCAAATAATCCGGTCATGTTGATTAGCTTTTTAAAACCCATAAAAATGGTTTCAAACTTATATTTAAGTGATACTGATTGTTAAGAGTGCTACTAATAGTGCAGTGCTACTGATAGTGCAGGCAATACAAGTGTTGAGCGGCACTATTGGAGAGACATAACTTATTGGAGCTCTCTGAGAAATTCGTTATTAATAAAAAATTCGTTATTGAGTTACATTGAGAAACATTGAGTTATCTTTCTGTAACTTTTCATTTCAGCTAGAAAAATTGCAATCTAGTTCAGTTCCCTAGAGCCCTAGAGTTCTCTAGAGCCCTGTTCCCTAGAGCCCTGTTCCCTAGAGCCCTGTTCTCTAGAGCCCTGTTCCCTAGAGCCCTAGGGTTCTCTAGAGTCCTAGAGTTCCCTAGAGTTCTCTAGAGCCCTAGACTTCCCTAGAGCCCTAGAGTTCTCTAGAGTCCTAGAGTTCTCTAGAGCCCTGTTCCCTAGAGCCCTGTTCCCTAGAGCCCTGTTCCCTAGAGTCCTAGAGTTCTCTAGAGTCCTAGAATTCTGTAGAGCCCTAGAGTTCTCAAGAGATCAAAATAGGAAGCGTATTGGAACCGTATTGGAACCGTATTGGAACCGTATTAGATCAAAATAGGAACCCTATTGAGTCCTAGAGTTCCCTAGAGTCCTAGACTTCCCTAGAGCCCTGTTCCCTAGAGCCCTGTTCCCTAGAGTTCAAGGGTCAATCACCGTAACCACCTTAGCACTATATTCATTTATTTGTTGTGTACTGTGCGTTGCAGCTAGCAAAAACTCTTGACTTTCAATTGACTTTCAATGGGTACAAAGCTTGACAGACTAAAGTTGAGAACAAAGCAGAAAACAGGCTAGACAAATATCACAACCATTGTTGAGATCAGCATTCGGACAACAACATAAACCGAAGAAAACAGCGGGAACGACTTTTTCCGATTCGATTGGCTGTTTGGTGATGATTTCTCGACTTTGTTTTGGTCTTGGATTTGTGGTTGTTGAGTTGGAGTCGTTTTTTGTCATTTCAAAGGGTTGTGGCTTGTCGTTGGCTTCTTGAACATAGGATTGTTAGCGCTTTAAAAAAAAACTCAGCGACTACACACAAACAACAGAGGATTGCTGGTTAAAAATGGTTAAAAACAAAGGTTTTCTAGAAAAATGGCTATTTCTCGACTTTCTAAGCAACTCACTGAACAAATTGATGTTCAAAGTTTCCTCGCGGCACTCGTGACATTTCTCATGAGGATACGAGCCGAGTACATGACCGAACTCGGAAACAGCTTGACTCTTCAGGGAAACCTGAAAGTTGATAATATAGTACGCAGCTCAGTCAAGATCTAGGACTACGGCAGCTCTTGAATCCATTTAAACTGCTTCTTCTAGATCCAGCTAGATCTAGCTAGTAGATCTAGCTAGGGGAGCCGTATCTATGGCATCTTCTAGTTATCATCTAGTTCTTGTACTGTATTGTGTGCAGAATCGTTTCAAGTACTAGATTTATACAAGGCTTTATACAGGATTAGGTTAACATGGCAATTTTGTCACATCAAAATGTCCAATCAAGGCTTAAGGCCCTTATAGCTGTAAGCTGTAATAGAAAGCCTATAGAAAACTGTAATAGAAAGCCAAAATGTATTCGAGAGGACTCTTTGTGATAAAATTCGAATGTCTCTGCAAAATCTTATTTTTCAGAGGCATTCGAATGCAGGGACTAGATCATGGAGAAGGGAAAGGGACAAGATCTGGGATGGATAAGGGAAAGGGACAAGATCTAGCAAGAAGAAGGGAAAGGGACAAGACCTGGCATTGATTGGCCAAGTATTAAACCGCACAAGCATACGCTAAGAAAACAGTACTACCTTTCCGCACTCACCAAATCTCCTTCACGCAAATCCTCATTGTCACTCGAGGAAATGGGTGGTTCGGGGAGGATCAGTTGGGGTAAATTGTAGAACTAAAATCGATCTTGTAACCGTAAAATAGTCTGAAATCTATTCGATTCCGGGGGGCTGCAAAAAAAAAATCCGATTTCCAAACTATCAAAACCAATCCAAACCTCAGCCTCGATTTTTAGCTCATTCCACGCCGACGAACTCAATCCAATCGGGAGTTCACGAGTTCGCAAATAATTCAGAATATATCTAGAAAATTTGATGAGATCTCTGGCTTTTTGGATGGATGAGAAAACTGGATGAGAAAAGCTAGATTATCCCGGGTGACAGCTAAAAGCTAAATAAGCTAAAAGCTAAATAAGCTAAAAGCTAAACAGCTAAAAGCTATTTCTGCAAGTCTGACTGGTAACAAAAAAAAAAACAAAAAAAAAAAAAGATTCACCGAAACTGTGTTGAATCTCGATCGATGAAGATCTCCTCGTTCATCTTCGCACTCCATCGTTTCAATAGCGCATCTAGAGTTCACTCTTTAAAGCTTTTGAAGTGTCAAAACCATGTCAAAACCAAAACCAAAAAGCGTCAATTACTATTTTATCTTAGTTTTCCTATCTAGAAACGTCTAGATATGTGGATTTGTTTCCTAATTTATCTAGCCTACAGTCAAATATATCTACAGTAGTAAAATCAAATATCAAATATAATGTAAAATAGAAATCACCGATTACTGAATATTCAAAGGTGTGATCGGTTTTTTTTTTCTATTCTCTACAGCAATGCATTTCCAATTTTGCATTCATTTACCAATAAGCAAGTCAGATTCAATGATAACCTTTCATTATAAAGTAAAGTTCATCTTTAACTCGAGATTTCGGGTTTTTTTAACCAGTACCCCTCGAAAACCCACCAAAATACGTGTTCTCCACCGATTGCAACGTATCGGTTGTCGTTTCGAACCTTTTCCCACCAATGTTCAGCACCACCGCTGAGGAATTCATGATGTTCTGCAAGGTAGAAATAGTCATGAAATACCACTTTTCCTTAAAAACGTGCTGCTTTATAGCCTTTCTTACTCATTTTTTTTCCTCAAATAGAAGGTTTATCATCAAGAATCCAAATATTATACCAGTGGAAAAGGAGAACAGACACATAAAAGGCACATATACAAATCAATTTCGATCAATTGAATGAAAAATGGGGATTGGTATATGGTTTTATATCAAAAAAGGACCTTTTTATATAGAAACGGGCCCAAAATAGCGGAAAGACCCGTAATTGACTGGAAAACAACAGAAGTGGAGAGGAAAAGGAAAGATGGGAAGGCGATCAATCAATGAAAATGTTGTTGTCGTGATGATCAATCGGGCATTGAAATGAGAAGACAGTTCCTTTCTCCATTTCCATTTTTCTTCGTCACATCGACAACGGGTCCACTTTTGCCACTTTTCCCGCGCCTCCGGCCTTCGCTGCGTCTTCTTCGGCCTAAACAAAGGAAAATTAGACGATTTAAGAAAGATATAGTTTGTAATCTTTAAATACTTTAAATTTAGACGTCAAATGCTTTTTTAAGGAATATTTTCTTGTTCTACAAGACCGTTCAAGAGTTTCTTGTTCTTCAAGACTTAAACTTTCACGTACATACAATAAATTTCACGTTCAAAACTTGCAAAAAAAGCGTTATTGGCTACAGTTTTGTCAAATTCCAAACAAAGCTATATCAGTTTTAAAACGGACGGGATTCGGGATTTGGGAAAACACAGCTGAAGCCTATATAAAACCTTCGAAAGTTAGGGTTTAGGTGAAATCGCAAATGATAAAGCTATTGTTGACAAATAAGCCAGTCTGCTTGATTAAGAGATTAAAGTTTTTATAACATTCTCTGCTTATCACCAATCAATTCAGCATAGTTATTCCCAAAATACTAGATTACAGAAGGTTTTAGACGGGCTTCAGCTGTGTCCAATTGCTTATATGATCATCCAGGATCAACGTCATGCCTATCTTAATAACAACTTTACTGCTTTCCAAAGCTTTTAAGCCAAAGCTTTAAGGCGTTACTAAACATCTTTTCCCTAAATCTACCAGTTCAAAGTTTCTCTCATGGCTATTCACACGTCACTGAGCCAGCTATTCAAACAAAATGTCATGTAAATTCACGATGACGTTCATTCATCTCTCGCAATCTCGTACCTTCTTAGCAGCAGCCAATTCCTGTTTCTTTCGCATCACGTCCGCATCGCGACTCATTCGAGCATCAAGACTGGTTCCCTGAAAGAAGACAAGAGTTAATAACAAAGTAATTCTAACTGATTTACTCAATTTTACATGTTCTAGAGCTAGGTTCATGTTTATTGCACTATACAAGACTAAATTTATGGGAAAGCTTTATAATTTTGTTGAATGTCGGCTAATTCTCGAAAGAATAGTCAATCAAAATATTGCACTAGCCTAGCAAGCACTAGCACTAGCATAGCACTAGCAAAATCGGAAATCAGCAATGTACACGTTTATTTTGTGCATGACTAAGTTGCAAAGTTGAAATTTCTTCAAATGGCGCAAAAGCTTACAGCATTTGCTCCTTTCCCTGATCCTTGCTTTTTCTTTTGCTCCTCTTGCTTCTTAAGGTTCTTGGCACGAGCGAGATCTCGTTGATTACCACCTAAACGAAACCAAATTCATAAGATAAACGGATTTAATTTAACAGCCACAACTTTATCTTTGCAATAATGTACATCAAGATCTCAAATCGATAGATTTTCAGCTATATAAAAGATTGCACAATGTTAGGTATTGTTAAAGCTTGCAAATTGTTGTGAAAGGCTTTTGATCAATTGTTGTTGAAATCAATGGTTGTTGTTGATCAATTGTTGAAATTAAACCGATTCGTGCAATTCAGCTTTGAGAAATCATTAATTCAAGGAAAAGCTGCAATTTAGAAAGGTTTTTGGAGATGCTTTACAAACTTTAATGCTTTTAATGCTTTACAAACTTTCAAGAGCTAAAAACGATGCCAGATTTTTAATTTAGCATGAAATGCCCGTTAAAGTAGGCTTAACTTAACTAGGTCAGTCTTTCATAACCATTTCAAGCTTTAACATATCTAACATTGTGCAAACTTGGCTAAAAATCGATCAATTTGCAGTCTTGCTATACCATTATGCTTCACAAGTAATGCTTAAAGCCCTTACGCAAGTTTGCTATCAAATTTAGCTCAAGATTGGCTCAAATTTAGCCAAAATGGCTCGTAAAAGTTTGACTTTAGTAATAAAAGCTAGCAACTAAACTTTAGAAAACCCAAAAAACTCACGCGTCATTTTATCGTTTCAGTGAGCAATAGAAGGAAATGTGTGTCGCCGTTGGCAGCTGAGAAGGGAAAACCGATGGATTGATGGGAGACACGCAGAAGAGTCCTTGACAGAGAACGGATGAAACGGGCAGAGTGGAGAGATGAGATCGTGAGAGAAGGAAGAGCCAAACCGGTCCTTTCTTCTTTTCACCCAAAACGACGCGAATTCGAGGCTCTAAAGGAGAGAAATGATTAACAAGTGTAAGCTATACAAGAAAATCGTGAAAATTGACAGAAAAATGAACAATGGGGGGTTTATAAATCAGTTTAAAAACGATGGTTGTTACAAAATTTCAAGGGAAACCGCGTTGTTGATCAAGTTTTACACATAAAATTGTTGTTTTTGCTTTAAAATTTCACTCGAAAAGCTCTTAAACTGGTTGAAAAGCTCATTAAACCATCAAATTCGTCAAAATCAAAGCAGAATACGCAAGTTTTCCCGTAAAATTCCACTCGTAAAGCTCGAAAAAGATGAATTTTCTTAACTTTTGACTAAAAACACGTTAAACTATGAAAATTCTTCTCAATTTGCCCATTTTGAGGGGAGTGGGACAAATGCGACCTTTTTTTTGCGCACCCGGACATTTGCGCACCTTTTTTTCTGCACTTAGTCCATTAGCGCACCTTTATTTCGTGTTTTAAATCTCTAAAAGATAATATTAAAGCTCTAAAAGATAATATTAACCAATCTCTATTCCAAAAGTTGTTTTTCTAGGTAATCTTGGGGCGTAGAATCGAAATTTTGGCCTACCAGAGCTTCTGGAAGCGAGCGGACGGCGTTATACAAAGAGAAAAATCAACAATTTTCTGTAATTTGACATTCAACAATTTGACCTAGCCGTTTTGTCTTTCAAATTGGTTTGTCTCTTGTATAACTCCGTCCGTTCGCTTCCAGAAGCTCTGTTATGTCAAAATTTCGATTCTACGCCCTCAAATTACCTAGAAAAACAACTTTTGGAATAGGAATTGGTTAATATTAGCTTTTAGAGCTTTTTAAAACGCGAAAAAAGGTGCGCTAATCGGCTAAGTGCGGAAAAAAAGGTGCGCAAATGTCCGGATGCGCAAAAAAAGGTCGCATTTGTCCCACTCCCATTTTGAGTCAAACCAAAGCTAAATACACCGGTTTGTTCTGTAAAATCCACTCGTAAAGCTCTAAAACGGTTGTTTTCTGCAAAATCTCAGCAAAAATAGGCTAAACTGCTGCAAATCGGCAATTTTTAAAAACAAAGCACCAAAATACCACCAAAAACAAGGCTAAACTTTCGAATTTTCATCAATTAAGCTAAAGATTCACGCAAAGTGAGCAAATTGAGAAGGATTTCTCTCGAAATTTCAAAAAAAAATGAGCTAAATGGGATGAAATCTCGAGGAACAATGGTTTCTTTGCGTGGAAAGCGCGCTTTTATCGTCGAAATGAGCAAGATAGCAAATGAATGATGCTATCCGATGTAGCGGAGCAAAAAAAACGGTAAAACTAAGAATTTCAATTGAAAAGCTACAGGAACGGAGTGCGCTCACGAAATAATAAAAATTTTGAGTACCGTATTTTCTCTAATAGTAGTGCACCCTGAGCGTCGCCTAAATTCCTCGAAATCTCGAGAACCTCTTATCAGAACCTATCGATGTGGGGTCGGAAAATGTAGCTGACGATGAGATCTAGTGGGGGATTAGAGTGTTGAGCTTCTGCAAAAGCTTGGAAACCATAAAATAGGCATCAACTCGGCTCGCCGGGGTGCACTACTATTAGAGAACTACTATTAGAGAAAGACGCAAATGATACGCGGCGCAAATGAAATTGGCGCAGAGGATTTTGGCGCAAAAAACGCGGCGCTTTTGCTGGGGGTGGGACAAATGCGACCTTTTTTTGCGCACCCGGCCAAAAGCGCACCTTTTTTTCGCTGGAAAAAGCCTTAGGAAAGGCCGTAGAGCTTCAAAAATGTTTTCACATAGGGGAATCGTATGCGTAGATTCCGAATTTCGACCGGCCCTTCTCGGCGATGAAAGGGATTCGAGCTAGTGCTAGGTTCGAGCAAATTGAAGGCGTTGCCTCCTGTGTTTGGCTGTCATCATAGGCTTGCGAGCAGGTCTTCTAGTATGCAATGCTGCTTGAAGCAACCGGCGATGCAAGATCCAGCGGGAAATATTCTTGTTTGAAGTTTGCTTGAAAAGAATGGCTCCATCGTTCAGCGTCAAATTCGGATCCTTCTTGAAAACTCTCGTAAGGAATCGGTCTTCATTCTTTGTTGTAATCCTCGGCCGTCCCTTTTTCCTACATCTGTGCACATTTCCGGACGCATTCATTTTTGCCATAACAAGAGCACAGAGGAGAACACATTTACATAAGAATAGACAAATCATTCAAGAGAATAACAATAGTAACTAAAATATCAGTTTGACTGACAGTACAAACTTTTTCCGAGAACTTTCTTTCCAAACTAATATTTGACAAAGCAAATTTCGTATTTTCCAATGTTCATCTGGATTCATTGAAGCAGTCGCAAATGGAAGTAGACATCTGTCCAATATTTCAATAGATTGGCGGGAATCCATTGTTGATTTACGAGGACAAGTGGACCCGTTGAACTTTTACACATCGCACCTAAAGAAATCATGTTGAGCTGCATAAAAAGAAAATAATCCTTACCGAAACACATCATTGATCCTTCGCCTGTTTTCACCGTAGGCTGCAAGTACTTGAGTTGATATCGCTTTCCAATTGGACGTCGGATCAGATGATTTCGATTTGAAGGAAAAATATCAACTTTTGTTTCATCAGCAAAACTCACTCGGGCCCAATCATCGATTGTCCAATTTGAATAGGTTCGAGCAAATTGAAGGCGTTGCCTCCTGTGTTTGGCTGTCATCATAGGCTTGCGAGCAGGTCTTCTAAGGCTTGCGAGCAGGTCTTCTACTATACAATGCTGCTTGAAGCAACCATGCAAGGTCCAGCTCGATGCAAGATCCAGCGGGAAATATTCTTGTTTGAAGTTTGCTTGAAAAGAATGGCTCCATCGTTCAGCGTCAAATTCGGATCCTTCTTGAAAACTCTCGTAAGGAATCGGTCTTCATTCTTTGTTGTAATCCTTGGCCGTCCCTTTTTCCTAAATCTGTGCACATTTCTAGACGCATTCATTTTTGCCGTAACAAGAGAAACTGTTGTGGGCGTACATCCTAAGAGGAGAGCAACGTCTTGTCGTGGCATTCCTGCCTTCCTTGCCTCGACGATCCTTTCTTTATCCGGAGTTGACCCAATATTTGGCAAAACAAAATTTCGTATTTTCCAATGTTTTTCTCAATTTTCTTCAAAAAAAAAACTTTATTTTCAAACGAAAATTTCTCGAAATTTGAAAGAAAATGAAAAAATTCATATAGAAAATGAAAAAAATTCATATAGAAATGTGTGACTTTTTTGATTTTAAAAATTTTCAACTAACTTTGCTTTTTTTGGTTCAATACAGTAGCACCCAATGGAGAGATTTGGCAAAAATGAAAAGAAAAAAACTACAAATGATATCAAAAACCGTAAAAATATTCGTTTTTATATGTCGTAGCCGTTTACGAAATTCAGCCGCTAACGAATGAGGGTATTTCCGGGCATCCAATCAAAAAGTTACCCAAATAAAAATGTTCATAATACATATATTTTATAATAAATTTTTGAAATTAACTCATTTGGTTCAGGAGAAAATTTTCTACTCAGCCAAAAAGCTTGCCTAATAGCTCATTTTGTAGCCAATTTGATGTAGTTTCTTAAAGTAAAGCCATCTAAAACAATTTTTCGTTGAAGGAAGGAGAAAGAGGGCGAGGAACAAATTCAGGGCAATTCTCAAATGTGAAAACAACGACCGAGTTCAACTGAAGTCGTTCCTCGCCCTCTTTCTCCTAGCTTTGAAAAACAAATGTTCCAATACGGTTCCTTTTTTGATCCAATCCGGTTCCAATACGGTTTTTTTTTTGATCCAATATGGTTCCAATACGGTTCCAATCCGGTTCCAATACGGTTCCTTTTTTGATCCAATCCAGTTCCAATACGGTTCCTTTTTTGATCCAATCCAGTTCCAATACGGTTCCTTTTTTGATCCAATACGGTTCCAATACGGTTCCAATCCGGTTCTTTTTTTGATCCAATACGGTTCCAATACGGTTCCAATACGGTTCTTTTTGATCCAATCCGGTTCCAATACGGTTCCAATACGGTTCCTTTTTTGATCCAATACGGTTCCAATACGGTTTTTGATGTAGTTTCTTAAAGTAAAGCTACATTGAACATTTGTTTTTCAAAGCTAGGAGAAAGAGGGCGAGGAACGACTTCAGTTGAACTCGGTCGCTGTTTTCACATTTGAGAAAAGCCCTGAATTTGTTCCTCGCCCTCTTTCTCCTTCCTGCAACGAAAAATTGTTTTAGATGGCTTTACTTTAAGAAACTACATCAAATTGGCTACAAAATGAGCTATTAGGCAAGTTTTTTGGCTGAGTAGAAAATTTTTTATAAAATATATGTATTATGAACATTTTTTATGTGGGTGACTTTTTGATTGGATGCCCGGAAATACCCTCATTCGTTAGCGGCTGAATTTCGTAAACGGCTACGACATATACACCTATGATGTCCAAGAAAAAGGAAATTACCGAAAAATTCCTGGGAAAATGCTTTTTTTGGGATGAAAAACAATAGATCACAGAGAGTTCGAAAAAAGATTGGGATGTTTATGGTGAGGAGGGAGGAGTTTTGGGAAAGGATTTGCGTTTGGAGGGATGAATTGGAGCGCACAAGGGTTGACCGGATGCTTTGCGACCCATTTAGCCGCACCCTCCACAACCACCACAGCCTCCGCATCCACCGCAGCCACCGCAAGCGCCGCAAGCACCTCAAATTGTTTTTTAGTTAGATAAATGGTGATTCTGGAGCGCACTGGATTCTGGAGTGGTGAATTAGGTCATTACGGGATCTTTTAGAATGCTTGGTACTCTGGCCAGGCTACAGTTCAACTATGTAGCTGTTGGAGTTATTAAAATTCTAGCTTTCGTGAACCTAGTTTACTAGGAATATGTCCTGACATCCAGAATGGTCAAAAAAGAACTCACCACATGCTCCACAGGCTCCACAAGCGCCTCCATCACACCCGGTAGCACATAGGCCGAACATTAGTGGAACGACCTGAAGTTAGAAAGTTTTATTCAGTTGTGTGTGTTCCAGAATTACATAAAATCTATTTAGCTACCGCAAATCGTCTCATTTGTCTTCTAAATACGTCCAAACTCGAAACTTTTGAGTACTACAACTTTTGAGTACTTTAGAGTACTATAGTCTGCAACCAACCTCAGTTCCTCCACAATCGCCGGCGGCAATAATCCTATTAGACGGCAATTGCTTTCCATACCCACACGCCAGCGTCAATGGCCATTTGTGAGCCTGGTGGCCGACCGATGTGCACTCGGTACGGGCTCGTACCTGAAAATTTACAGCTCGGGAAACAATTTAGAGGACCAGGCCCAGGTCCAGGACCAGGCCCAGGACCAGGCCCAGGTCCAAGCCCAAGCCCAGACCCAGGACCAGGCCCAGGACCAGGACCAGGACCAGGACCAGGCCCATTGGGTTAGATCCGAATTGAGTCAGCTACATCATCTAGGCCTGGCTCAGTATGGTTTATGAATGCAAAACTTGGTGCCCTGGCTTGTTGAGGTACTTTTGTATTAGCTGGGGATCTTAGAAAAAAATTAGCTGAAGGGAATCTTTTCCGTTCATTTTCCACTTGATTCTAATTGATTTTGTTTTTGAAAGTTCTGATCAACGATGGTTTGTGAAGACATCAGCGTGCTGCTCCAACCAATCAGCAGCTACTTTGCTTCTCCAATCAATCAGCTGCTACTTTGACTTCAACTATCGAGAAGTACATTGTTCTTCTGAATTCATCTTCGATCCCCCTCCCCCAAAGCCCAAAAGCATCTCCAATTCTTGCCACAATTGGCCGATTTCCGTTTGCGTTTGCAGGTGATGACTTACCGCGGTTTTTGGGTGCTTCACAGCAACAGGCGGGGGAGGGTAGTCTTGCTAAAAATTTATAGGGGGGAGGTGGCTGGAGGTAGTTTAGTCACATAGATAGACTAAGTATCATCCAGAATTGTTTCTGGGTACTGTAGCCAACGCTTTATTCACTGTATCCCTGAGCTAACCTTTATCTACGATACTAGAAAGCTGAGGGTTAACCAGATCAATACAGATTTCATTTCTGGTCTACTGTCTCGAGTATTATCTCGTCTACTGTCTCGAGTACTGTCTCGTCCACTGTCTCGTCTAATGTCTGGTCTACTGTCTCGTCTACTGTCTCTTCTACTGTCTCGTACTACGGTAATAAGCCCAATTCCCCTACCTTATCCGGATTGCACAAAACGAAGAGAGTCGATACACAAAAAACGGCGGCAATGTGTTCAGCGGTGGCCGTCGACCTGACCTCAATCCGTTTCCCTGGTAAACGAGCCTGTGCATCTGAAAATTTTTCAGTAATCTCTGTGCATTCCAGGATGAATGACTATTAGCGCAAATTTCAGAGAAACTTAGTTTTAAGCCGTATAATGATCCATTCTCAATACTGACCTCCAATCACGAAAAGGGTGCTCCCTTCAGCTGTGGGAACCTCCAGTTTTTGGACGGTGTTCTTAAGGAGATTGAAAGCGTCGACAAGGAGCCGACCTGGTGAGCCAGGCTTAGCCTTTTGACCTTTCCCACTACCGCCTTGCACTTCCTGAAATTAAATTAGAGATTTGAATGGATAGTGGACTTTGAAACCCCTAGAGAACCTAGGGAGAGCCTTGTAGGGCCTTCTAGGGCCTTATAGAGCCTTGTAGGGCCTTATAGAGCCTTGTAGGGCCTTATAGAACCATGTAGGGCCTTGTAGAGCCTTGTAGGGCCTTATAGAACCTTGTAGGGCCTTATAGAGCCTTGTAGGGCCTTATAGAGCCTTGTAGGGCCTTATAGAACCATGTAGGGCCTTGTAGAGCCTTGTAGGGCCTTATAGAACCTTGTAGGGCCTTATAGAGCCTTGTAGGGCCTTATAGAGCCTTGTAGGGCCTTCTAGGGCCTTGTAGGGCCTTCTAGGGCCTTGTAGGACCTTGTGAATCGCCATGGGCATACCTGTTTCCTAACAAAACCTGTCCATCTTCCTTTCACAATCGCGTAGTCACCCTCACGGTTCACGATGACGAAAGCACGCTCTTCTGCTGATGAAAGATGCGGCAGAAATTGCTGGAAATTGCCGGAAATTACGATTTGGAACTCACGAGAGCTTTTAGAAAATTTTGAAACATTTTCGAGCATTTTAGTTTTCAAATTCTAAAACGTGCCCTTGGGGAAATCCCACCGTAATCCTAATATTCAAATCTGCAGCTATCGCCAATTTTATAGCGTTTTATGCTGCTGTGACATCCATAACTCACCAAATTGCTATCCAATTGCTCTCTACTTGGCAGACTGTCGGCACCGATCAGGTGAGCCATAGACAAAAGCCTCTGTTCTCGCCCGTAAACAAGGATCATCGAGAGGAGCAATTGTGCCGAGTGAACCACCTAGAACTTTAAGTTGCGTTCCAGATCGCCAAGTTTTCAAACAATTATCTTCAAATCTTGAAATCTGTGGCCAAAAAGCGCCCAATCTTTGACTGCAGTACCCCATTTACCATAAAGCGCCAAGCAACTTTAAATTGTTGCTTAGGACTCTAAGTTGCGCTCCCAGATTGCTCTTGTTTTCAAACAATTATCTTAAAATCTTGAAACCTGTAGCTAAAAAGCGCCCAATCTTTGACTGCAGTACCCCTACAGACCCATTTACTTTAAATCGCCAAGTGAACCACCTAGGACTTTAAGTTGCCTCCCAGAACACCCAGTTTTCAGAAAATTATCTTAAAATCTTGAAATCTGTAGCTAAAAAGCGCCCAATCTTTGACTACAGTAGCCCATTTACCGTAACGCGCCTAATAACTTTAGGTTGGTGCTTAGGACCCTAAGTTGCCTCCCAGAACACCCAGTTTTCAAGCAATTATCTTAAAATCTCGAAAACTGTAGCTAAAAAGCGCCCAATCTTTAACGGCAGTATCCCATTTACCGTAACTCACCTGCACAGTGAACTTGGTGCCATCCCTGGTGTCCATAACGCTAAAATTTGCATTTACAAAGTCAAGGGAGGCTTTATTACGTGTGTGTCGCGAGGTGTACGGTAACTCCTGGCTGCATGGCTTGTCGATTCAGAGAGGCACACTGACACAAGAACCAGAGATGCGTGTCAGCTTGTAGAGGGGTTTCCTACAATATAGAAATTCGACAGAGACATAAAAATTACTAAACCGTATCTACAGTACCGTAATCTGCAGTATCTGCTCGCTTTCTAAACAGTGGACCAATTTTGAAAGCCACCGTATCGTTTTTTCTAATAATAAAACATTAGGGCGCAATTTTTAGGCCAAATTCTCATGTGACCTCCAGGATTCACAAATCAACTGCTAAATTCTTTCAAAAGTTCCCATTTCCTCAAAAATTGAGCCAGTTAGGATCCGGCTTTGACACCCTCCCCTCAATTCAAACCTAGACTTCTCCCACACCTCCCAGCAATCAAATTGCGTTCCAGATCGGCCAATTTCACCAATTAAAAATTTTCTGATCAAGCGGATTTTTTTAAATCCACCCAATCTTTTGTGGAGATTCAACAAATAGGATTCGCGCCCAGGAAAATCAAGGTTTTAAGGCGCAATTTTCATGCAAAACTCTGGTTTTTAAACTGATCTGCTTCTGGTTTCCAAATTTTGAAAAAATCAAAAAGAAAAAAATTTTGGCAGCACGGGGACTCGAACCAGCGCCAGGGTAGGGCCGTTCGCCTTGTAACCAAGAGCTTTACCACTTGACCATGAACTCGAAACTCTTAAACTCATCCATTTTTGATTCTGATTTCAGATTTTGCTATACTGACATCCAGAATTGAGATAGAGCTTGAAAAAAAGCCCACTTAAACGTCAGTTTTCCGAGCTTTTCCATCGGTGAACGAATTTTGAGTGATTTTCGTGAATTTTCGGATCTTTTTCAGATCTTTCGGTTTTTTAAAGAAACCGAAATGAATTAAATGTATAAAAAAGCTTTCCTAATATATTGCAAGCCCTGATTTTAAAAGGATTTCTAAAAATTTCGGAAGTTTTTGAGATTTGAAGGGCTCTTCATTGACATTCTTGAACGGACTAAAGATTGTTTTTCTAAGAATAAAACTTTAGGGCCCAATTTTTAGGCCAAACTTTCATGTGACCTCCAGGATTCACAAATTAAGTGCTGAATTTTTTCAAAAGTCCCCATTTATTCGAAAAATTGAGCCGATCAGGATCCGGCTCGGACACCTTCTCTCAATTCAAGCCCCGACTTCTCCCGAATCTCCTAACAACCAAATTGCGTTCCAGATCGGCCAATTTGAGTTGAGAAAAATTTTCTGATCAAGCGGATTTTTTAAAATGCACCCAATCTTTTGTCGAGGGTCAACAAATTCGCCTAAAAAAGGTCCCGTTTACTCGAAAAAAGTGAAGAAATGTAAGACTTGACTACAGTATTCCGTTACAGTACTCTGTGCCTGACTGATTTCGCTACAGTATCCCTACAGTAATCCCAAGCTCTCACCTGAAACTCCCCAGCCAACAGTTGCAATTCTCGATTGAGCGTGACACTAAAGATCAAAAAAGTGTCTGAAAAGAAGCTACCGTAACCCAAGCATGACTGTAGCACTCACCTGGTGGTTACCGTAACCCGAGCGTTCAATTCTGGCTCGTAATCTTTTGTCTGTAGCGGTACATCGGCGACGTTGTGAGCGGATTTGCTATTTGATGGCGGGAGGAGCTGAAATCAACAAAAATGGCTTGTGTGAGTTCCAGCTTAGAAGATAAATTGAGAATTTCGTGCACTAGATGCTTAGCGTTTACGAAAACGCGGTGAACACCATTTTGGTCAAAATTCTTCGCTGCTTTGTGAAAAAAGGCTTGTTTTTTGACTTTTTTTGCCAATCCTGGAACTCACATCATCCAAAGAGACTCGACCGATCAGCCGAACGAGATCTTTCTTCTGCAGGAACATTTTGTCGAATAGCTGAATATCTGATTTTCGGGAAAAATGAAAGAACTTACTTCCAATTCAACGAATAAATCTTTCGAGCATTTACGCTCGAATGGAAATTTCACGATTGACGCCGAGGATGAGCTGTCGGTTGGCTGCCAAACGAGAGAGAAACCCGATTTCGTCACCTGAACAAGTAGAAATCGAGTAGAAATCTATTTTGCTGAAAATCGAAAATCTAAATGCTAGCAATTCTAGTGTGACATCCAGGTAGAAGAAAAAACGCAATGAAACTAAAAGAGCTCTTGCCAATTATTCGGAATAATCGCAAACTCTTGGCTGCCGTATCAAGTATAACTGTTTTGGCGAAAATCGAAAATCCGAATGCTAGCAATTCTAGTGTGACATCCAGATCGAAGAAAAAAAGCCATTTCAAGAAATCAGCTCTTGCCAATTTTTCGGAATCATCGCAAACTCTTAGCTGTACTCATCGAGGACAAATTTTTTGGTGAAAATCGAAAATCGGAATCCTAAAAATTCTAGTGTGATATCCAGATCGAAGAAAAAACGTCATTAAAATAAAAGAACTCTTGCCAATTTTTTGGAATCATCGCAAACCAGTTATCAACTCGGCTCGGTGGACTACTATTAGAGAGAATGCGGTTCTTGATGTTCTTGATGTTCTTGATGTTATTAGAATCACCAGCAGCTAATGATTAGCACAATTTCAGCTAGATAGGGTAGCTTGGATGCCTTAAAAGGGTAGCCTCAACTGGTCTTGAATCAAAAGACTAGCGCCTGACGGTCCGGTACGCCTGACGGCCCGGAATAAGTAATCAAGCAAAGATAGGTGTCCCCCCTCCACCCCAATTCCATTGGCCCGGTAGCGGCTCCGCCAGTCATCAACTCGGCCCGGTAGCGGCTCCGCCATCACAACCGGCCCGGTAGCGGCTCCGCCAGTCATCAACTCGGCCCTGTAGCGGCTCCGCCAGTCATCAACTCGGCCCGGTAGCGGCTCCGCCGCAAGCGCCTGACGGCGCGGCTCGCTACGCTCCCTTTTCAGAAAGTATTCCTAGGCAACCCATTCTATAAACGCCCGAAGGATACCCCCATCCTTTTAATGGATACCCCATCCCGACGATACCCCATTAAATCCATACCCATCGAAGGTTTACCCCATAAAAAGCATACTATATGAAAATGAAAATCTATGGGACATCCTGGATACCCCATGAGCCATAAGTAGAGCAATTAAATCAATACAGTACCGAGCAAAAGTCTTGCAACATCACTTTTCCAAAAAAATCGATGAAATTTTTTTATAGAAAATGCCACCCGTTCGTAGGGCTTTTTTGTTTTTAATTAGAATAATATATGTACACTTTATTTACAAAAACAAATTTAAAGTTCAGCGTAAAGCAAAAAAGTAAATGACAAAACTACTAAAAAATACCCTAAAAACTGGGTGCAAAAGTCTTGCAACATTTTACAGAAACATCAAAAATTAATATTCAATCGGTCCACCTTTTGCCAAAATCACTTCATTAAGTCGTTTAGGCATTGAGTCGACTAATTCGTGAAGAATTGCTGGGCGAATTGAGCTCCAAACTTTTCGTATGTAGAACCATAAGTCAACTTTTGTGTGAAAGTCTTTTCCTCGTAACTTTGCCTTCACGTAAGCCCATAAATTCTCAATAACGTTTAAATCAGGCGAATGGGGGCACTTTGACTAACAAAACATTATTAGGGCAAACCATCCAGGGAGATGAGCTTTCCTCCATTTGAGAGATTCACGGTGCGACCCATCATGGCTTGCTCTTGTGGACCGGCGAGTTGTCCTGGTAGAGAAACCATTCAGGAGCCATGTGATCCTGAGTAAATGGAAGTCGAATCCTTCTAGTATTTCCATATACTGGCGAGCATTCATGGTTGACTGGACGAGGACGAGCGGACCTGCCAATTTTTGTCATCGCCCCTAGAAAAAGACAAATTAATGCATTTATTAGAAATAAGGCTTACCAAAACACATGATTGATCCTCCGCCAGCTCGCATTGTAGGTCGCACATATTTAAGGAGTATTCGCTTTCCAATGGGTCGTCTGATCAAGTGGTTGCCTTTTGGAGAAAAGATATCCACTTTTGTTTCATCGACAAAAATCACGTTGGCCCAATCCTGCTTTGTCCAACTTTGGTACGTCCTGGCGAATAGAGCCGTTGTTTCCTATGGCCAGCGGTCATCAAAGGCTTTCGTAGGCCCGCCGGCTATACAGTCCTGCTTGAGTCAATCGTCGAGAAACGGTCCATCGAGAGATATCCTTGTTTGCAACATCCTTGATCAGCCGGCTCCCTCAGTTGATGTCATGTTCGGATCCTTCTTGGAGCCATCACAAGTATTCGATCCTCTTTTGCTGTTGTTCTTCTTGGCCGTCCTTTCTTCTTTCTTCGGTGCATAAGTCAATTGTTTTGCTTTTGAAACAATGCGAGAAACGGTCGAAGGATCGCATTTGAAGAGATCGCAGACAACGGCTCGAGAAATTCCTTTTTCTTGCTTTCATGATTTTTCTCTTTCGGGAGTCGTCAAGTAGGTACCTGGCATCTGAAAAAAACAAAAATTAGTGTAAATTAATAAATTTGAAAACAATAAAAATGAGAAACATAAAATGTTGCAAGACTTTTGCACCCAGTTTTAGGGTATTTTTTAGTAGTTTTGTCATTTACTTTTTTGTTTTACGCTGAACTTCAAATTTGTTTTTGTAAATAAAGTGCACATGTATTATTTTAATTAAAAACAAAAAAGCTTTACGAACGGGTGGCATTTTCTATAAAAAAATTTCATCGATTTTTTTGAAAAAGTGATGTTGCAAGACTTTTGCTCGGTACTGTAGATCAATTAAATCAATAGATCAATTATTGGGTTGATAACTGGACAACCTAATATAATTAGATATCTAGAAGATATCTTGATAATTGCTCCCCCGCTCCTCCCAGCCCCCCGCTCTCTCCCGCCCCCCGCCCCCCAGCCCCCGCCCCCGCCCCCAGCTCCAGAGGAGATCTTCAGCTTTCGAATGATATATAACACTCATATAAATCTTTTCGATATCTTGAGCGAATTTACAAAATAGTAAAAACGCGCATTCATAACTGGACAACCCAATCGATCAATTAGATCAATTTTACAGAAACTAATAGTAAAAGTATCAATCAGTAAAAGTAAAAGTACTTGTTTCTGCGAGAGATCCGCGTTGAAAGTCGTCACTTTTTTGTTCCCATAGCACAGCTTTAGCCGGAGTTGCTCGCGTTGCACGGGAATGTCCTGGAGAACGAATTTTGATTTCATCAAACAATTTCATTGAAATTTCATCACACCAATCAACGCAACGCCATCCATAACAAGAAACCTTTAGCGCGATTGACGGCACGTGCAAATCCCCGTACGCAATGTTCGACAAATCCTGTGACTCGAATCCGAGAAACGCCGGTGCGTTATGGCCTCTGAAAATTGAGTTTAAATGGCGAGAATTCTTGTGTGACATCCAGAATACAGTAATCTTTACGTTAGACATTTGTAGTTCACCGTATAGCCGACTACAAGCGTCGATCATTTTTGCACAAAACCACCTTCGAAAAACCTTTGATCTAGACACTTTTTTCTATTCCAAACTATTCGGTGACTTCCAGAATACAGTAATCTTCACGTTAAATATTTGTAGGGCACCGTATAGCTGACTACAAGCGTCGATCATTTTTGCACAAAACCACCTTCGAAAAACCTTTGATCTATACATTTTTTCCCATCCTAAACTGTTGTGTGACTTCCAGAATACAGTAATCGTTAAACATTTGTAGTCACCATATAGCTGACTACAAGCCTCGTCATTTTTGCACAAAACCACCTTCGAAAAACCTTTGATCTAGACACTTTTCTATTCCAGACTATTCGGTGACATCCAGAATACAGTAATCTTCACGTTAAATATTTGTAGGGCACCGTATAGCTGACTACAAGCCTCGATCATTTTTGCACAAAACCACCTTCGAAAAACCTTTGATTTATACACTTTTTTCTATTCCAGACTATTCGGTGACATCCAGAATACAGTAATCTTCACGTTAAATATTTGTAGGACACCGTATAGCCGACTACAAGCCTCGATCATTTTTGCACAAAACCACCTTCGAAAAACCTTTGATTTATACACTTTTTCTATTCTAAACTATTATGTGACATCCAGAAGACGGTATTTTTTAATTTTGAGACAAATTCCGCACCTGTACATGCATCCGCGTCGCCAAAATGGTTCATCGAAATGGGTGCTCCACAATTTCTTTGTCAGCGCCTCCCCTTTTAGCAATTTGCTGCCTTTCGAACGATCGTTTACCTAAAATTGTCTTTTTTCTTTGTGATAACCTATTTTTTAGGCTAAGGAATCGAACCTTCGACTTCAGACTGGTAAACAATGCGCTAACCGATTGAGCCTTTAAGCTCGAAGCTTAGAAGTTGTTTTTTTTGGAAAACCCTTAATCTAGATTGTGCCGTGCGTTCCAGATTGACGATTTTTCGGGTAAAGGAATCGAACCCTCGACTCAAAACTCGTAAACAATGCCCTAACCGATTGCGTCTTTGGGCCCGAAGCTTAGAAGTTGTTTTTTTTTGAAGTTCTTAATCTAGCTTCTTCCGTGCGTTCCAGATCGCCGATTTTTCGGGCTAGGGATCGAACCCTCGCTTCCAGATTGGCAAACAATGCGCTAACCGATTGAGCCTTTGAGCTCGAAACTTAAAATCGTTTTTTTGAAAGAATTCTTAATCTAGCTTCTTCCGTGCGTTCCAGATTGTCGATTTCATTTTGGCGATTTTCGAAATTTTCGATTTTTACCCCATCATCGTGCTTCAACAGATTTCCGAAGATCGCCGTGCAGTCTCGTTGATAATTAAGCGGATGGACCTAGAAATAACAATTGATAGAACAATTGATTGAGCAATTGATAACAATTGATTTGTCCTGAGCCTACCTGATGAGTGTGCCAGATGATGTCGAAGTCGTAGCAGGGTGTCAAGAATTGGTCATGATAGGTTTGCTTTAAAAGCAAGAACTGAAAGATTTTTTTTGATTGGAAAAGGTGTCGTGCGTTCCAGCTTAAAGGAATCTCAGCTCAAAAGGGGGAGATTGTAGATTGGAATGGGTCGTAGCAGGGTGTCAAGAATTGGTCATGATAAGTTTCTTAAAAGCAAAAGAAAACTTCAAAAGGTGTTGGCGTCACAAAGGAATCTGGTCAAAAGGGGTTGTGTTGGGTGGGGCTAGGTGTCAAGAATTGGTCATGATAAGTTTGCTTTAAAAGCAAGAACTGAAAGATTTGTTTCATGGAAAAGGTGTTGTGTGTTCCAGCTTAAAGGAATCTCAGCTCCAAAAGGGGGAGTTTGTAGATTGGAATGGGTCGTAGCTGGGTGTGAAGAATTGGTCATGATAGGTTTGCTTTAAAAGCAAGAACTGAAAGAGTTTTTGATCGGAGAAGGTGTTGTGCGTTCCAGCTTAAAAGAATCTCAGCTCAAAGGGGGAGATTGTAGGTTGGAGTGGGTCGGAGCTGGGGGCAAGTGCCACCGGCTAGCCTAGGCCTACCAAAACCTGTCTCAACCTGTCTCAACCTACTCTAACTAGTTCTTGTGACCTCCAACTCAAGCAATGCGCTTTCTTGAATCGCTAGAAATGTCGCTTACTTGAATATATCGGCGCACGGCGTCGCTCAAGAATTTCGTCGACGTGTAATGCGGTAGAGAGGCCTGGAAAGTGCGGAATTACTATAAAATTGGCTTAGTTACCTGATAATTGAAATTCCTTTGCCTCTGGACAGCGCCCGCGATGTCGTAGCTTGACTGTGGCTCGTAGGTGGCCGCCGGGGTGGGCGAGGCCAAGAAGTCGTACGGCTCCGGGCTACAATACTCGTCCCAAGCGCGCACTGAGGCCTCGTATCTAGAATATTCTTTCATCCTGGAAGTCACGAGACCTATTGGCCGTTTTATTTTCTCGAATTTTTAAATTCTGAAATTTTTCAATTTTTGATATCAAAATAGATCAAAAAATATCAAAAAATATAAAATAATTTTCTTTTTTGAATTATTGTGTAAATTTTTGTTCAGAACGCTTATGTGATATCCAGCTTGAAAGATTTTCAACTCAAAATGCCCAGAAGTCACGGCACTAAGTCGCTAGAGCTTCGAAGAGCTTTCGAAGAGCCGGAGTTTCAGGACTGGTCAAATTTCTTGCTGGCTTCTTGCCTTAAAGACTTTCTTCTCAAAAATTCACCTCTTCTGGATCTCATCGGAGGATAATAGCTTGTGATCGATCACTTTTCCGCAAATTTTCTCTGAGTCCTGAATTTTCGTCGTTGATTTTAAAGAATTTTCAAAGGATTTTAAAGAATTCAATTTTTTTTCAATTCCTTATTTCCTCTTTTCGCTCTTTTCTCTCAAATAACTCAGTGAATTTGCTCAATTTTATGAAGGGTTCTCTGATTTTCTCAAAAAGAAAAAAGAAAAAAAAAAAAAAAACACAAAGGAGGCGAGAATCCAATTTGTTGAATCTCGACAAAAGATTGGGTGGATTTAAAAAAATCCGCTTGATCAGAAAATTTTTCTCGACTTAAATTGGCCGATCTGGAACGCAATTTGATTGCTAGGAGGTTTGGGAGAAGTCTGGGCTTGAATTGAGAGAAGGTGTCCGAGCCGGATCCTAACCGGCTCAATTTTTCGAAAAAATGGGGACTTTTGAAAGAATTCAGCACTTAATTTGTGAATCCTGGAGGTCACATGAGAGTTTGGCCTAAAAATTGGGCCCTAAAGTTTTATTCTTAAAAAAAACAATCTTTAGTCCGTTCAAGAATGTCAATGAAGAGCCCTTCAAATCTCAAAAACTTCCGAAATTTTTAGAAATCCTTTTAAAATCAGGGCTTGCAATATATTAGGGAAGCCTTTTTATACATTTAATTCATTTCGGTTTCTTTAAAAAACCGAAAGATCTGAAAAAGATCCGAAAATTCACGAAAATCACTCAAAATTCGTTGACTGATGGAAAAGCTCGGAAAACTGACGTTTAAGTGGGCTTTTTTTCAAGCTCTATTTCAATTCTGGATGTCAGTATAGCAAAATCTGAAATCAGAATCAAAAATGGATGATTTTAAGATTTTCGAGGTCATGGTCAAGTGGTAGAGCTCTTGGTTACAAGGCGAACGCCTCCCCCCTTGGCCCGGGTTCGAGTCCCCTTGCTGCAAAAATTTTTTCTTTTTGATTTTTTCAAAATTTCAAAATCAGATCATTGATCTCTGCTTTGGAAAGCGTTCAAATTTCTGCTTTCCAACTTTTTCTTTCTTTTTTCCCCGAAAATTTCCGAATCGGGAACTCTGGTGCGAAAAAAAGCGCCGAAATGAGCTAAATGAGCGAAATGAGCGAAATTTGAGCATTTTCGGGCGTTGTGGAGTCCAAAGAAGAAAGAATCACTTTCTTGGAGAATTTCCAGAAACACAATCGATCTGGTGCACTAGTTGAGTTGGAAAAAAGGTTTGGAAAAAAAGATTGGCTCTTTTTTAGCCACATAAAACGTTTCGAAATCGATTTCTGATTTTTGATTCGGTAATCCTGGAAGGCAATTGGATTTTTTTAATTAAATCCGAGGGGATTTTTAGGGATTGAGGTGGTCGAATCTGTTGACTCAAAATTCTCAATGAATTTATTAAAAAAAATGGTTTTTAGTTAAAAATCTCGTAATCCTGGAGCTCACACTAGGTTCTGGAAAAAGAAAATTTTCGATATTGTTGATATTTAACATTTTTACAATACTCCAACTGGATCACTCCAATTTTCACTATTTTCTATTTTTCTGTTTAGTCTATCGTCATTAGACAATCAAAACTTGAAACTAGAACAAGAATGTTGAAAGAATTCCCTTGCCCCTCGTTTTCCAAGCAAAAATTTCTCTGTAACTTGAGCCGTTTTGAGAATGACCAAGTTCCCGACCATCAAACAAACTTCAAAAGTCAAAAATTCGAAAAATGAGCAAGCTGGAATGCACTTTAAATGTTGAGCTAGAAAAAAAACGCTGAACTAGAAAAAATTTTTGCACTTTTGCTCGTGGGAGGACTCGAACCTGGGTGGCCCCGAGGGTCGATCGCCTGCTACCATGAATTTTCCCACTGCGCCATACGGGTCATCTCTTTATTTCTTTTGTCTAAGATTCCCATTTTCTAGTGTGACTTCCAGGATAGCTATTGGTGATTTCGGAAATTCTTGAGGGTGGATATAAAGCGTTTTTCGTTTGCCTGAAGGTTTGTTGAAAAGAAAAGGGTAAAAAGAGACAAAGAATCCTTTGATTTATGCCCGTCTTTCCTTCAAAATGGCCTTTTTGAGCATTTTCCCTAAGAAAAATCAAAAAAGAATGAAGGCGAGAAAGAAATTTTCAATGAGTTGACACATTTTTTTGTGTTGAGGCTAGATTTTAGGTTTCTTTGGGGTTTTGAGAATGAAATGACGTGCCAGTGTTCGATCTGGAACGCACGTTAAATGAAACTTTCATTTTTAAAGCTAATAATAGAGTTTTACACAAGCCGGAATCGAACCCTCATTCATTCGCACGTGGACCAAACGCACTACCACTGTGCCATGGGAAAACTTTGAATATTTGCCATTTTAAATATTGGAGAATCTTGTGTGACCTCCAGGATTACTGGATCTCCGGTTAGATTTGAGTTTTGCTTGCTGTATGAGTCAGAAATGGCGGAGAAAGCTTTCAAGGATGATTTGGAGTGTAAATCGCTATTTTTAAGGATTATACACATCTGAGCTTTGAACTGGAACGCACGTTAAATGAAAATTTCATTTTTAAGGCTAGTATTGAGGTTTTACAGGAGCCGGAATCGAACCCTCATTCATTCGCACGTGGACCAAACGCACTACCAACTGCGCCATGGGAAAACTTTGAATATTTGCCATTTTAAATATTGGAAAATCTTGTGTGACCTCAGGATTCGTTTCTTGGTCAGAAATGGGGGAAGCTCAAGGATGTTTTGGTGTCAAGGATTATACACATCTGAGCTTGCTGGCCCGTTTGAATTCTTTTGGCTAGTTTGAGGTTTTCCGGCCGAATCGAACCCTCATTCATTCGCCGTGAACCAACGCACTCCAACTGCGCCATGGGAAAACTTTGAATATTTGCCATTTTAAATATTGGAAAATCTTGTGTGACCTCCAGGATTACTGGATCTCCGGTTAGATTTGAGTTTTGCTTACTGTATGAGTCAGAAATGGCGGGGAAAGCTTTCACGAATGATTTTAAGTGTAAATCTCTATTTTTAAGGATTATACACATCTGAGCTTTGAGCTTTTATCAAGTAAAGACTCCTTTCTGAGAGAATCGCCTTCTTTTCCTGCTTTTTTCGCTTAAAAGCCTCTCTCCGACTTGACGAATGACCAAAACCAAGAACCAAAACAGGACTGGGCAGTTTTTCTTGGTTTCTGAGTTTTTGAAAGAGTCTAAACGGGAAGAAAGATGAGTTCTGGAGGTCACAGGAGACGACTATTAAAGAAAAATAGGTGAAATGTGGATTGGGAACAAGTCAGAAATGGACCCTGGATGGACCGTGATGACCGAATAGTTCAGTGTCAAATATCAGTTTTCTCAGAATTCCTATAGCAAGTGTGCCTTCCAGGATTACTGTAAACCTGGTTATCTTTTTAGTTTTGCTCAAGAATTCAGCTTAAATGATCGTGGTAAGAGTCACAAACTAAAACCGACAGATTCCTCAAAATCCCGATATCCAGTACCAAGTGTGCCTCCCAGGATTACTGTATTCACGAGCGGTTTTTATCTTTTTCCCTCTAATTCCCGTATTTTCCCGGGGATTCCCCGATCTCTCCAATTATTTCCCTTTTTTTTCTTAAATAAATGCAAAGAGGGGTTCACTCGAGCCCTCTAGGCTTCCCCCTTATTTGTATGTGGCAAGGAAAAGAGGAGGAGGAGCGAGGAGCACTCGGAGCGAATTGCTTTTGGCCGTATGGGGTGAGAAAAGAGAGCTGGCTTCAAAAAAGAGAAAAGGAAAAGACTTAGCGGATCGCTATGTAGGGGAATGCGAATTCTGGAAGGCACGGAGAGGATGGGGCAGGTTGGGGGGCCGCGGGGGCTGGAGTAGTGGGTGAGCATTGGTGGCAGTAGCAGAATGGACGATTTTCTCGGCGACCATGAAGCGTGATTGAAAAATTTCTTGCGCCATTCTCAATGCTGGACTGCACAACACTTGTCAAGTCGATTTTTGAGGTGTCAGGATGATCTCTTGATCAGGAGGCCATAGCTCTTTTCTCTCGGCGTCCATCGATCACCCGTCATCCTCTCTTCTTTTTTCTTTCTTCTCCTAATCACCGATTCATTAGAGATCAAGAACTTTGAGGAAAAACATGAAAAATATGACTTCTTGATAAGGGATTTCTTGTGTCAAAACATCACAAAACACAAAGGAAACATCAAAACATTTGGGTGGGTTATTTTGGTCCAACTCAACAGCTAAATGATCTAGCTTTGATCTTTGGCTTTGTGCTTACAGCTAGAAACATTTCAAAGCTCAAAATTTTGAACAAATCAAAAAAAGAAAAAAATTTTGGCAGCAAGGGGACTCGAACCCGGGCCAGGGGGGGAGGGCGTTCGCCTTGTAACCAAGCGCTCTACCACTTGACCAAAACCTCAAAAATCTTAAAATCATCCATTTTTGATTCTGATTTCAAATTTTGCTATACTGACATCCAGAATTGAGATAGAGCTTGGAAAAAAGCCCACTTAAACGTCAATTTTTCGATTTTTCCTTAGCAATTCGGTATCTTGCATAATTTTTTGATCCAGAATTCAAAAACCTAGCTAGATTTGGCTATTCTGGGCCTCGTTGTTAACCAAGGCTTATATCTTGGGCAGATTTGGGCCTGATTTGGCCTCTTATAATTAGAGTCATCATACCTAAAATCCGAGTGCACAACGGATCAAAATTGATTTCGAAAAGATTGGGTGCTTTTAAGCTACAGATTTTGAGATTTGAAGATAACTGTTTGAAAACTGGGCGATCTGGAAGGCAACTTAGAGTCCTAAATGGTTTACTCGGCGATTTACAGTAAATGGACTGTAAGGGGTACTGTAGGTCAAAAGATTGGGCGCTTTTTAGCTACAGGTTTCAGGATTTGAAGATAATTTTCTGAAAATTGGGAGATCTGGGAGGCAACTTAGAGTCCTAAATGGTTTACTCGGCGATTTACAGTAAATGGGCTGTAAGGAGTACTGTAGGTCAAAAGATTGGGCGCTTTTTAGCTACAGCTTTCAGGGTTTTTAGATAATTTTCTGAAAATTGGGTGACCTGGGAGGCAACTTAGATTCCTTAGAGTCCTTAAAGTTCTTGCTTCAATTCCTCTACTGGATTGCTGGATTGCTGGTTTGTTTGGCACTGGATTGCTTGCAACGGTCGAAGTTCGAATAGTCGAGCCTCCCCAACATCTTTCAGTCCCTCAGCCGCTTATTTTCCTTTCACGTGTCACCCCTCTTCCTCAGCATCAACCGAAATGCCTTAAAGCCAAAAGAAAAGAAAGACACACGAAAAAAAAGAATGTGGCCAAGACATTGATCGGGCTTCTTTCCCTTTTCTTCTTTCCTTTTCTTCTTTCCTTTTCTTCTTTCCTTTTCCCAGGCTTCTTCCCATTTCTCAGAGATGTATTGGCCCTATTTTGGAAAGCTTTACGGGCAGACTGACTCTAAATCCTAGCTATTTTAAGCAAAAGGTCCTTGAGGGTCCAACCTGGACCTGGTCCTTGAGGGTCCGACCTGGCCCTTGAAGGTCCGACCTGGACCTGGTCCTTGAGGGTCCAACCTGGACCTGGCCCTTGAGGGTCCAACCTGGACCTGGTCCTTGAGGGTCCAACCTGGCCCTGGCCCTTGAGGGTCCAACCTGGGCCTGGCCCTTGAGGGTCCAACCTGAACCTGGTCCTTGAGGGTCCGACCTGGCCCTTGAAGGTCCAACCTGGGCCTGGCCCTTGAGGGTCCAACCTGGCCCTGGCCCTTGAGGGTCCAACCTGGACCTGGCCCTTGAAGGTCCAACCTGGACCTGGTCCTTGAGGGTCCAACCTGGTCCAACCTGCTAAATCCTCAAGATCCAAAAGAAGCAAAAATATCCTCAAGGCTATTTTTCGGTTTCCGGATGGCTAGAAAATTTCGGTGCCATCCAGAATCAGAGAAAATCAGAAAAACAAGAAAAGTTATTGCACCAAACGTTGAGAAAAGCAGCAAACCCTGATCAAGCCGATTTTATGCAATATGATGTGTTTAAAAGAAAATTAAGGTTAAAAAAGGGAAATCCTGGATGTCAGGCAGAAATAAGAAATGAAAATTACCTCGTGGTAGTGCAATGGAGAGAGCATATGAGTGTGCCAGATCTGAATGTTTCTGATTATCGAGCTACATGACTGGATAAGCTTTTTAAATCGTCAAAAGTAGCATTCTGGAAGTCACACTATATAAGTATTATCAGAAATTCGATCATTTCCCTTACCCAGTGAACGTCCAATGGAGGAATCACGTTGATGTCCGGATGTCGGGCCTGGAATTCGGGAATTCAATTCTCGAGGATTTTTTGGAAATCCTGGGGCGCACGGAAGCCAATGAGCTAGTGATTATGCGATTTGCATTTAAGGGGCATTTAAACCGAAAGTGTTTCGATAAAGTTATGAATTTTTTTTGAATTTCTGTGATTCTGGAACGCACTGTGCCTGTTGTCATCGAGAAATTTGCATTTAAGGCTTTTTAAACTTTCTCAGCTAAGTGAATCAAGTTTGAGCATTTAAACCGGTAGAAGTCCGATAAAGTTATGAATTTTTTTTGAATTTCTGTGATTCTGGAACGCACTATGCCTGTTGTCATGGAGAAATTTGCATTTAAGGCTTTTTAAATTATTTCAACTAAGTGAAACCAGTTTGAGCATTTAAACCGAAAGTGTTCCGAGAAAGTTATCATTTTTTTTTTTATTTTTGCGTTTCTGGAACGCACCGTGCCTGTTGTCATGGAGAAATTTGCATTTAAGGCTTTTTAAACTTTTTCGCTTGTCTACAGTACTTTTGTCCGATCAACCTCAAGTCCTAATTTTTAAAAGTGCCATTTTCCAAAGAATATCAATTTCACAATGTTACGTGCGTTCCAAAAAAGCTATTGCCAAAAATTTGGGGCCCTAGCTTGAGCGACAGCCGAGAAATCGGGAAGAACGGCAACACCGAAAATCGAAAAGTCAGATATTCCAAAAAAAAATTGAAAACTCGAATCTCTAGCTGTGTCGTGCGTTCCAGAATGAGTAAAAAGTTCAGAAATTTCAAGAAAAACCCTTTAAAATATGCGAATTTTTTGAGGGATCGACTTACTTGCATCGGTAGCCAGTATTTCTCGTATCGCCGGATCGCCTGATTCACCTGGAATTGTCAGAATTGTTTCTGGTTTTCGATTTTCAGCCATACCACATCCGGCTCGTACAACAATGGCGCTTTCCGATCGATCATTCGCAAAAAGTTTGCTTCACGCTGAAATTTCGAATTTTCGGGTTTTTCGTGATTTTTCAGGATTTCGAGATTTTTGCTAAACTCGATTTTTTTCAAACTCAATTTTAATTTTTTTAAATCTTATTTTCAGCTAATGTGACATCCAGATAAGCAAAAAAATTCTGATTTTCGAGAAAATTTTTGTAATTTTTTTCAGAAATCGAGAAGTGAATGAAATTCGAAAAAACCAACTTCGTCATTTTTGAAAATCTTTGCAATTTAGTTCGTTTAAAATCTCTTGTGCGTGCCAGGATTGCGATTTTCGACAATTTTTCGACAAACCTGAGCCGCTGACACTAAATCCACGGTCAATCCATTGGCCATTTGTGTTTGCGTCGAGCGCAGAGTGGGCGCCGTCGTGTGCAGATAGTCGGGTGGTGGCGGCGCCGACGAAGAAGACGAGGAGGCCATTGTGATACCCTGAAAAACTAGAAACTGTATTTTCAAACAAATTTTCAGTCAAAAAACGGAAGAGCACCAAAATCTCATCCCAAAGAAAAAGATTGGCGGCGTAAAGTTGCGGAAAGCGTTCGAATCCGAATTTTTTCAAAAGTAATCGCCAAGCTGGATGTCATGAAAGCTACAGGTGAGCTTGCAGGTAAGCGATCGCTTGCAAGGGCGCAACCTTGACCAAAAATGATCAACGAAAAAAGATTGGCGGGCTAGAGGGTCGAGAAATGGTTAAAACTCAAATTTCTCATTAAATCTTGCCAAGCTGGCAGGCAAAATAGCTGAAAAAACAAAAATCCAATCGAAAACTTGAGCTATCACAAAGTCGGAAGTGCCAAAAGAAGATTGGGCGAAAAAAAGCTCGTATGTTAACGGGAAGGGGAAAAGCCCGGTGAGGGGAGGGCTTTATGGATGGCACAAGGAAAGAAAATCGAGAGAAACTGGGGGGAAAGTGGAGATTTGAGAGAGTTGGTAGCGGGGAGTACGAGGAAGAGTAGCGAAGAAGAGATAGGGACCCTCGAGAGCAAGCCACGCCTCCATTTTCCCATTTTCCTCTTTGCCTCTTTTCCAACTCCTCAATGGGCACCTCAAGTTGAGGAGAGAGAGAGAGAGAAAGATGAGGGAAAGTGGGGCTGTTCCGATGTATAGCTATGATTCATTTGGTCACAAAAAAACGGGGAAATTTTTGAGATTTTCGCAAATCCGAAAATGAAACCAAGAGAACTGGAAGTCCCGCTAGCTTTTGATGGTTTTAGAATTGCGATTTTCTTCGATTAGAGGAGATCAGTCTGCCTTCGATTCAGTCTACTCAAAAATCGTTAACAAACCAGAGCAATTGGCAGCATTGCTAGCTCATTCGCTAGCTAGCTCATTCCCTGTCTAGCTCATTCCCTGTCTAGCTCATTCCCTGTCTAGCTCATTCCCTATCTTGGCCCTAAAATTGGTCTAAAGCTCTCAATTTGGCCTTCGCATTCTATACAAAATGCATTCTATCCAAAAAGAAAATAAAAGAAACCCTGAAAAGCCTGGGTCGGAATCGAACCCACTAGGGTTTCAGCCTATGACCGGCGACGCTAACCACTACACCAAGGGGGTCTGCCATAGGGCCCCCGAAAAGATCTAGTCATTTACGCCAATGACAATCCGGCCCTCGATCAGCGTTGTTTCAAAAGAAAGTTCCTTTATGGTTTCTTCTTTTTCTCAGCAGTCAATGTGTGTCAATGGATGCCACACAACAGTTCAGAATGGAAAAAAAATGTATAAATCAAAGATTTTTCGAAGGTGGTTTTGTGCGAAAATGATCGAGGCTTGTAGTTGGTTATACGGTGAACTACAAATATTTAACGTAAAGATTACTGTATTCTGGATGTCACACAACAGTTTAGAATGGAAAAAAAATGTATAAATCAAAGATTTTTCGAAGGTGGTTTTGTGCGAAAATGATCGAGGCTTGTAGTTGGTTATACGGTGAACTACAAATATTTAACGTAAAGATTACTGTATTCTGGATGTCACACAAGAATTCTCGCCATTTAAACTCAATTTCCAGAGGCCATAACGCACCGGCGTTCCTCGGATTCGAGTCACAGGATTTGTCGAACATTGCGTACGGAGATTTGCACGTGCCGTCAATCGCGCTAAAGGTTTCTTGTTATGGATGGCATTGCGTTGATTAGTTGATGAAATTTCAATGAAATTGATTGATGAAATCAAAATTCGTTCTCCAGGACATTCCCGTGCAACGCGAGCAACTCCGGCTAAAGCTGTGCTATGGGAACAAAAAAGTGACGACTTTCAACGCGGATCTCTCGCAGAAACAAGTACTTTTACTATTAGTTTCTGTAAAATTGATCTAATTGATCTAATTGATCTAATTGCTCTACTTATGGCTCATGGGGTATCCAGGATACCCCATGGGATCCAGGATGTCCCCATCAAAGGTTATGGGGTAAACCTTTGATAGAGTATGGATTTAATGGGGTATCGTCGGGATGCCCCATTAAAAGGATGGGGGTATCCTTCGAGCGTTTATAGAACGAGTTACCTAGGAATACTTTCTGAAAAGGGAGCGTAGCGAGCCGCGCCGTCAGGCGCTTGCGGCGGAGCCGCTACCGGGCCGAGTTGATGACTGGCGGAGCCGCTACCGGGCCGAGTTGATGACTGGCGGAGCCGCTACCGGGCCGAGTTGATGACTGGCGGAGCCGCTACCGGGCCGAGTTGATGACTGGCGGAGCCGCTACCGGGCCGAGTTGATGACTGGCGGAGCCGCTACCGGGCCGAGTTGATGACTGGCGGAGCCGCTACCGGGCCGAGTTGATGACTGGCGGAGCCGCTACCGGGCCAATGGAATTGGGGCGAAGGGAACACCTATCTTCACTTTATTACTTATTCGAACCAACCCTTGAACCCAAAAAACTAAAGAGTTTACGTCAAAATGGCATTTTTTCGGCATAAAACGTAAAGTTACGCCTTGTTGCCTCGAGTCGCCGCGGCCTAGTGACGACAACAGGCGACACAAGCTACTTAACTTAGTCTGCGGATCTCTCGATTTCGAATCGAGTTCGAACCCCGGTTCGAATCCGGCCTCGGACAAAAAGTAAAGAGATTTGATACGAGATTGGCCAAGCTTTATTGAGACGTGACGTCAATCGCGCTAAAGGTTTCTTGTTATGGATGGCATTGCGTTGATTGGTTGATGAAATTTCTCACAAAATTCGTTCTCCAAGTCATTCCCGATTGGACAATTTCCTTTTTACATAAAAATAAGCACAAGAAAGCGCTTCTTTAAGAAAAATAGAGCCAAAAATTGTTTTTGGTTGTTGGAAGAATTGCCTGGAACCTGTTCACCCCATTAACTTCTTTTTGAGTAGAAGGATTTTGATGAAACTTTGGGTTGGTCTTAGTTGGATATCATGTAAGAATTTGGATTGAACAGATTTTTAGAAAATCGCTTTTAACGTTACCCTTGGATCGTTGTGACTGACAGCAGTCTGGCTCTCTCCCGTCTCATATTGTCTGATCGAGAGCCAATTTTCACCCAAAAACTGCTAGAAACCAATTCAATCCATTAAAACGAGCTAAAACCAAAAAAAAATCTTCTTGAAAACCCTTCAAGAACCCCAGCAAATAATTTCCCTAAAAAAACAAAAACGCAAAAAGTGATTAGCCGCATAGGGGGCTCGAACCCCTGACATTCAGATTAAAAGTCTGACGCTCTACCAACTGAGCTAATGCGGCTGCGAGATGGCGTTCCGAAAAAAGGGCGTTTCTCGTTGGGGAAAGGGAATTGGCAACTGGACTACTGTTTTATAACAGCGAGACTTAAGGGTGAGTTTTTCTGGCTGCCAGCCATGTTGCTATGGTGCAGTCGGGAGGGTGCTTACCTAGAACCCAAACGATCTGGGTTCTGCCCTGCTGACACGGTTTTTCTTTCTTTTAAATTAATTAACTCTATTGTTACTGTATTGTTTTTCATCGCCACGGTACAATACTAGCTACAGTATGATACTAGCTACGGTACAATACTAGCTACGGTACTGCCTAGACTGCTATCTATACTGGGTAATCGATATTGAGTTTCGTTTTACAGAGTTTTTTTACAAGGTCGCTTCACAACCGATAACAACGAGTCTACACTCTCTCCTTTGCTTGCGATGAGGTTTAGCGCTCTGGAGACAGAATCCATAATTTCATCGTTTTTTCTCTTAGTTGGAACGCACATGACAATTGTAACTGATTTTTTTGATCTGTCGTCAAAAAAATTTTCCATTTTTTTCATTTTCCATCAGGGCCGCAATTTTTCGCAAAAACCCATTAGAAAACTGTCTATTTTGATTTTAGAAACATAGTGAACGGTTAAAAATAAAATTTAAACTGTTTTCCTTTTTCTCTTTAAATTTCAAGGGCCACAAATTTGCAAATACTGTCCACTAAAATTCAGCGAAATGAAAATTTCAATTTTACTTGACAGGTCTATCTTAACAAGTACTTTGCAAATAATTGAGAAGATTAATGGCTAAACTCTATTTTGATAGAAAATATCTAAAACTTGTTTAGTTTTTAATACTCCTTTCCGTTTTTAGGCCAGAAAGAAAAATTCAGCAATTCACTCAGCAAAAACTCTTCGCGCCTGTAATGCGCGTAAGCAAATATAATCGCCGTTGAAAAGAAAATCGATCGAATTCGCATTATTCACTTGCTCTTTTCCTACACAGGTCCAAATTTTTAAAATGCTTCCAAAATGTGTGTCCGTATACCAGCAACTAAATCGTCTGGAATTTTTAAACGTTTTAGACTTTTGAATTTATTCTACAAACCAATTTTTTGCGGTAACAAGAAACAAAGACACTAGAGGGAAAACAATTTATATATTAAAAAATCTTTTTACCTTATCTAGCATAAATAAAAATCAAACTACAAACGTTGTAACACTACAATGAACAGATGAGGGATTACACGTTAATCGAAGATCGCTCAAAGAAAAAGTGTGTACCTAAGTTTAGGCCTTGAAGCTGGCCAAGAAACCAGTGACCAATTCCTTGAGTTTGGTGTCGGAAGCGGGCGAGATTTGTCCCTCCTCGCGGATCGTCTTCAAGAGTTCCTGTTGAGTGGCGCGGATGTGGGCCAAGAACTCCCTCTCGAATTTGGTGATGTGAGATGGGTCGAGTTTGTCGAGATGTCCCTTCACTCCAGCGTAGATGACAGCAACCTAAAATAAGAAAATGAGCGATCGTTTGGAAGATATTACTTATGAAAAGTTTTTGACTAATTTGTAAGCGAACCTTAAATCTCTGAAGATGCAAAAAGAATACTTCTTTAAAAGATTCAACTTAACGTTAATCTCAATCAAAATCACAACGTACCTGCTCCTCAATGGCCATTGGCACGTATTGTCCTTGTTTCAACAACTCAGTGAGACGGACTCCTCGGTTGAGAAGTTGTTGGGTGGAAGCATCGAGATCAGATCCGAACTGGGCAAAAGCTACAAGATTTTCATATTTATTTTTTAAATAAATCAACATACCTGCGACCTCACGGTATTGGGCAAGCTCGAGCTTCATGGAACCGGCGACCTAAGAAAAGGAATGAATCAACTCACACTCTTCAAATGCTCACCTGTTTCATGGCCTTCGTTTGGGCAGCAGATCCTACACGTGACACAGAGAGACCGACGTTGATGGCCTAAATTTTGCGATTTATTGATCAAGATCAAATCGGACGCGGTAAAACTCACTGGTCGCACTCCTTTGTAGAAGAGCTCAGTCTCAAGGAAAATCTGCCCATCAGTGATTGAAATGACATTGGTTGGAATGTAGGCAGACACATCACCGGCTTGAGTCTCAATGACGGGAAGTGCGGTCAACGATCCACCGCCCAAATTTAATCGTTAAACAGTCAACCAAAAACAAAGTTTTGCTTGTTACTAACCGAGAGTATTGTTCATCTTGGCGGCACGCTCCAAAAGGCGCGAGTGAAGATAGAACACATCTCCGGGGTAAGCCTCACGACCTGGTGGACGACGGAGAAGAAGAGACATCTGACGGTAGGCAACGGCTTGCCTAAAATCATTGCTACTTTAAATAAGGTCGGGGCAAAAACTTGGATAAATCGTCGAAGATGATCAATGCGTGTTTTCCATTGTCACGGAAGAATTCTCCCATCGCACAACCAGAGTATGGAGCCAAGAATTGAAGTGGAGCAGCGTCGGAGGCAGTGGCAGACACGATGATGGTGTATTGCATAGCGCCAGCATCGGTCAAGCGCTTCACAATCTGGGCAACCGTGGAACGCTTCTGCCCGACGGCAACGTAGATGCAGTAAAGCTTCTTCTTCTCGTCAGCACCATTGTTGAATCGTTGTTGGTTGATAATGGTGTCAATGGCAATGGCGGTCTTTCTAAAATAAAACAATTATTTGTGGTGGTAGGAGGTGTACCCACAAATTAAGTCCCATAAGCTTTCTAGTCAATCAAAGCTTAAGAACGTTTCAAATCCAAAGAGCTTAGTAAAGGTTAAGCCTAAAACTAACCCAGTTTGACGATCACCAATGATCAGCTCACGTTGACCACGTCCAATTGGCACCAAAGAGTCTACAGCCTTCACTCCCTAAAATTCAATAAATGACTTGAAGCAAACTAAAAATTTACCGTAAGCATAGGTTCGCGCACAGAGAGGCGAGGAATAATTCCAGGAGCTTTGACCTCCACACGGCATCCTAAAGCCAATATTGCTAAAAATTATGCTGAAACCACGAACTCTTGACTCCCTTGACTGGTCCCTTTCCATCAATCGGGTTTCCAAGAGCGTCAACGACACGTCCAAGAAGTCCCTCTCCGGTAGGCACGTCCACAATGGCCCCAGTTCGCTTAAATAAAAACATGAATGAAATTAATCTTGGTAAGCCATACCTTGACGATGTCTCCCTCACGGATCACCTTGTCGTTACCGAAGACGACAACTCCCACGTTGTCTGGTTCCAAGTTAAGAGCCATTCCCTAATTTGAAACATAAACGAATGCTAACTTCTCTACTAGACCGCTTATACCATACGCATCTCAACAAACAAACAAAAACATAACAAACCTTGATTCCCGAGTCGAATTCCACCATTTCCTCGGCTTGAATGTTCTTCAAGCCATAGACACGAGCGATACCGTCTCCAATGGAGAGCACCTTTCCTGTCTCTTCCAAGTTGATGCTGGAATCTTGTCCGAGGATGCGTTCCTCAAGAATCTTTGACACCTCAGCGCCGGAAGCGGCGAATTGACGGGTTGAGGTGGCAATGCCATTCTGGGACACCTAAACAAGAAACATTAAGCGTGTAAATGTGAAAGCATTCCCATTAGCTAAAATTTTTGGATCAAGTTGCACAAAACTAATGCAAGGTTGCTGCAAAATTTAATCAGAGACTAAGTTAAACATTTACTTCAAGAATTCAATCATTCCAGCAACATCCAATTTTTTTAAAACCATATAACATCAAAAATTTACCTTGACGGTGTTTCCAATTGCGCTGATGAGCCTTTTGGAGAGCATTTTTCCCTCGGGCGCTGCCGAACGTCTGCAAAGCAAACTGGTTAAACTTGAAAAGATTCAAGGAAAAAAGTAATTCTTACACCAACCGGGAATAGCAATTGCAAAGAGAAAGAGTCCGAGAAAGAAAGGGATTTGGGGAAATACGGTAAATGTGCGCCCGTTTCCCAGGGTCCTATGCGGCGCCCGTTCGAAAAGTTGACATTTTGCCAAGATTCAAGAGCGCGGATCTACTTTAAGCGATTCGAATTGAATTGCCGCCGTTTCTCATTTAATCAAAAATGCGCTTAACAACGACGAAAAGCTTTCATTTGCCAAGTTTTTGGTACTTTGCTGGTTGGGAGGGACCACTTTTGGCATTGCTTAGTCGAATCTAGTGTTTTGAGCGGCTCGTGTCGATACTTTTCTTCTATTCTGAAGAAAGATATATGCTGAAGCGATTGGTGCTAATTTTATAGTATTTCCAACATGTTTCAAGTTAGTATTGTCAGCTTTGAGATTATGTTCAGTGGTTAAAGAACAGCAGGCTAGGACAGAGGGCAAATCATCGAATAGGATTATCAAAAACGTGTTTAAATTAGCACCAATAGCTTCAGCATATATCTTTCTTCAGAATAGAAGAAAAGTATCGACACGAACCGCTCAAAACACTAGATTCGACTAAGCCATCCAAAAGTGGCCCCTCCCAGCCAGCAAAGTACCAAGTTTTACATAAAACAAAGCTTTTGGGATAGAAATGCGTTTAACAATGAAGAGTAACATGAAGAGTTTTTTAAATCAAGCCGTAAACTTGCATCGTTTTCATGTAAAGCATAGGATTAGCTAAGGTAATTGCGTCTAACAATGGCAAAGCTTTAAAATTTTAAGCACACAACAAAAGCGCGCAACCGATTGGCATGGAGTTGTTAAAGAAAATGAAATTTTTGCTGGAAACTGCTTTTTAGGGCCAAATTTGGCCAATAATGGGTGTTCAGCTGATTAACTTAAATCTCAAATTTTAGTAAAATGCGCTATTGGGGTATAAAAGAAAGGAGGATTTTTCAACTTTTTCATCGTTTTTCAACAACGTTTCCTTCTTTTACAATTTTCCATATCCATATCTCTGTCTATTTCTGACTTATCAGCTAATCTTTTTTCCGTTTCAGCCATGGACGAACCGATGGACATTGATGGGAATCGGCCATCATCGTCAGCTTCAACGAGCGGGCCAAAGAATGAGGACGATTCGAATGAGAAGCGGATTCGACGCTCGACCCGCGAGATTAAACGCCCTAAATTCGATGACGAAATCGTCGAGAGCATTCCGGATATAAAGGTGGGTTAGTTTTGAGGGTAAACGGTGGTTAAACTGGGGTGGCACTCTTTGTTCTTAAACTTGTTTAACAGCAGGGCAAGCTTTCCCCCCTCAAAATATGCCTTGTTTTACGGCTAACTAATGTAAAAGCTAATGTAAAAGCTAAAACTGATGTAAACTAAGGAGGAAACTCTAAAAAAGACAACTTTTTGCTAAAAATGCTTGATTAGGCCAGGAATTACCGGGTTTGCTAGGTTGTTAGCGTCAGAGTATCACTCCAGATAAATCATATCGATAGTTTATACTAAAATTATATTAAAACAAGCTATAGAGCTAGTTTAAGAGCTAGATTTGACAGTCATGGTTAAATTAAAGTTTAAAGAAGCTCAATCCTTTGCTAAAAGCTTATTGTTAAAGGTTAATTATATTAAAACAAGCTATGGAGCTAGTTTAAGAGCTAGATTTGACAGTCATGGTTAAATTAAAGTTTAAAGAAGCTCAATCCTTTGCTAAAAGCCTATTGTTAAAGGTTAATTATATTAAAACAAGCTATAGAGCTAGTTTAAGAGCTAGATTTGACAGTCTTTGTTAAATTAAAGTTTAGCAAAACCCAATTCTTTGCTAAAAGCCTATTGTTAAAGGTTAATTATATTAAAACAAGCTATAGAGCTAGTTTAAGAGCTAGATTTGACAGTCTTTGTTAAATTAAAGTTTAGCAAAACCCAATTCTTTGCTAAAGCCTATTGTTAAAGGTTAATTATATTAAAACAAGCTATAGAGCTAGTTTAAGAGCTAGTTTGACGTCTTTGTTAAATTAAAGTTTAGCAAAACCCAATTCCTTGCTAAAAGCCTATTGTTAAAGGTTAATTATATTAAAACAAGCTATAGAGCTAGTTTAAGAGCTAGATTTGACAGTCTTTGTTAAATTAAAGTTTAGCAAAACCCAATTCCTTGCTAAAAGCCTATTGTTAAACGTTAATCAAAATTGATTTTAGAAACGCCTCAGCGCTGAACGAATGCTTCACTCACCTCCAATCTCTTCATCTGAATCTACACCGCAAAATGTCTTTCCACCGGTAAATTTTACCAAAGTTTAATGTTTTTTAAGTCTATAGCAAATTCCAACCGTTAAAATAAAATTAAAATAGGCAGAGAAAGAGCAGCCCGAAAAGAAAGAGGAAAAGGAGCCAGTGAAAGAAAAAGAAAAGGAAAAAGAGAAGGAAAAGGACAAGGACAAGGACAAGGACAAGGACAAGGAAAAGGACAAGGAAAAGGACAAACCAGAAGCGACGGCAAGCTCGAAAGCTGGTGAGTTGACTTAGAATAAGGTTTGATTCAAACGTTTACCGACGAACTTTTGGCAATGCAGAATAATAGAGAACTAAGTAGCTTGGCTGAACATCTTTTAAAGATTTTAACTTTTAGGTCTTCGTAAACGGATCTCAAAAGCGGACAAATTGGAAGAAGCAAATCAGAAAGCCGCCGAAGAGGCTGTCGCTTTGGAACGACGAAAAAGAGAAGCGCGAATTGCGAGCAAGGATTTGAAATCAAAAGAATTGGTGGCAGCCAATGAGGTAACTTTTAACATTAAAGTGTAAGGGATTGACTTGTCTTGGCTTGAGACTGGCTCAAGAAATTCCTGCATTTAAATACAAAGGTTGCTTTTAAAGAGTTTTCAGCAAAATCTTTGTAGATTGATTTGATTTGTAGATTTGAGAGATGTAGATACAAGCTTTGTAGATTTGATTAGTGATATGCTATCTAGATAAGCATTCACAAGCTTTTATGTTCAAATTTCAGCATGTCGACTCGACGATCACGCAAACGCTGAAGAAATGGACGGCCGCTGATGATGTGATGCTTCTAACAGCTGGAACACATGTAAGTTTTTGATGAAAGCTTTTAAAAGCTATGTGTTAGTGATTATAATGTTTAAGAAGTAGTACTTTAAGGTTTTGATTATGTGATTTATTAGAAAATTATAAATTTCAAGTTCACGAATGGTTTTAGGTTTGCGATTTGGCCGTTGTCTACGCGGGTATCCGCTTCTCAAAGCCGTACAGTCTTTCCGAGATTGAAGAACGGTAACTTTTTCATGAATTTGCAAATTTATTCTTTTTTTAGATGGTTTGAATTGATGTATGATAAGAATCTCAGCATACTGGCAAATAAACGCTTTGCAGATATGAAACCCGAAGAGATTTTGCGGATTCAAGTGAGTTACTTTAAATCATTAGACCGTTCTAGCATTGTTCATCTTATAAAATTAATTTTTTTAGGGTAAAACCATTTTCTCGGTTGCTGAAGAGGATCTTCTTGCAGGAATGAGCGTTGGAAGAACGACTACACCGTCACTTGAGGTAGATTTTGCTAACCAATCAACCCAAAATCATAAAAATGTTAAAACTTTATGAGCTAAAAAGCATATTATGAGCTTTCTTAAATCAAAATTGAGTTAAAAACCAGACCAAGTATCTTTTAGAAAACGAAGGTATTTGAAATTCGTCCAATTTATGCCTTCTTTTTTCAAGAATTCTGTAAAGTAAATACTTAACTTCATTCTCTAGTTGGATCATGATCTTGAAGAGATCTTTATGATGCTTAAATATGCAAAAGTAATAAAAATATTACTAATTAAGACTTTTTCCAGGAATTCGAGCGTCTTCGCGTCGAGAAGCGAGAGATTTTCCATCCGGCTCGCACCGCGCAAATCCTCTGCGACTACTATCAACAACTGAAGATGTGGGTAAAACCATTCGTTTTCAAATGTGAAAAGTATCATCTCGTTAAACAAATTAGGTGGTACTTTTAAATAAGAAGTGGACCATTTTAAAGGTCTATATAAGAGAATCATAAAATTCTACTAATCAAATCAGCCATTTTGGGAAATTTGGCCCAAAATTACCCTTGAGCTGATCAAATTTTGCAAATTTTATCAGAAATCACTCAATTGTTATGTCATTTTTTCGTAAATCACCGCATTTTGGTAATATTTATTGAGCAAAATCGGTAGACAAAAAGGTGTGAAAATTTGAATAGAAATTTTGCTTCTTTTACACACAACAATTGGGGAAAAGCTTTGCAATCAATGATTAACGGATTTGCAAAAAAAAAAGAGAATTAAAGTTTTCCAAAGAATTCGACTAGAGATTGGAGAAAATATTAGGGGAAACAAAGCCGATCAAGTGCTCAATACAAAAAAAAACGCAAATATTAGTCATCAATTTTCTTGGGTTTGCAGGTTTTGAAGTGCAAAATTGTTTCAAAAACAGGTTTTAGCATCAAATTTTTGCCAAAATTTACTCAAAACCCCCAAATCCCAATGAAAATTTGACTAAAAATTGATGTCTCTTCTTTAAAACAGAAGTTACTTATCTCGAAATTTACTCGAAAATTGAAATTACGGCAAAAATGAAAAACAAACACATTCAGTTAGCTAAAATAATATGTCACGGGGGGCACATATACATATTAATAACAAGAGAAAATGAGAAAATTCATAAAAAAAACACAAAAAACTCTTTGAAAAACGAGAAAGTTTCAGAAAAAAAAAAATAGCATTTCTCATGGCAGGACAATTCGTGAACACTCTAAATCGCAAAAACAAAAGAAAATATGAAAAAAATTTCCATAAACGGCTAAAAATTTTGCATACAAACATAGTAAATTGCACAGGAAAACGAGGAAATAAAAAAAAGCGAGATTTCTCGGCGTGTTTTTTGTGGGTTTTCGAGGAGGAAATGGGTGAAATTGGGAAATTTTTGGGGGGAAAGAGCATTTTTAGGATCAAATCTACCTTGAATTGGATGATTTACCCCAACTTTTTCCCCATAAAAATGCTCCCTCCTGGGGGTTTAAGAAGGGAGAAATGACTAAAATCGGTGGATAACTTGGAAAATTTTAGATACCATAATCATTCTAATAGAAGGATCGGGCCCGGCTAAATTATATTCAAGTTTATCTGGTTCAGAGCCAGTCGGACTCTGATTCGAATCGCCGGGCCTAGAGTTGACCCCTGGTTCTATCGGAATAATTACGGTATTTGATGGGTTTTTTCTTTTTTTCTCTCGGGGCGATCATTTTTCCTGATAAAAATAGAGAAGGCATTGGGAGGCATTATGCAAAAATGTACAATTTTAAAGGAAAATTTGGGACTTTTATTAGGATTTGTATAGAGAAAACGGTACAGTAAAATTAGGCTTGCTTAGCTGATAGAATTTAGTGCAAAAGAACAAGAGGAGTACTGTAACTTTAACGGATATTCAAGATACTGTAAATTTGGCTCATTACAGTACTCCGATTCTTATTTTACACTCATTTTATCCATAAACAAGCCTAATCTCACTTTAAAAATATCAAAATTTTAGGGGATTCCTCTCTTTTTTTATTCACAGAGCAGCAAAATCATGATTTGCGGGAAGAGAAAACACACAAAAAAGTGATATACGGCGCGCGTAAATGAATGAAATAATGAATGAATGATAGGGATTTTCAGTTTTTCTTTAAAAACCAAGGGAATGAGTCGAATTTTCGAGCTTCCCATAGTCGATAACCTTTAAACGACATACGGGATCTGAGTATGAGACAGTACTCTAGGCTACGGTACTTATCTAGATATATAGATAAGACTATCTAGATATAACTCATTGATTCCAAGTTCCGTATGTCGTTTTATCGAGGTTAGCGAGTATGGGGAATTCGAAAATTTAGTCATTTCCCAAAAATTTCCAAAAAAAAACTGCACAAAACATCAAATTTTGACTAGGAAATTGGATAATTTTGGATATTTTTAGGTACGCAATGCTGGAGACGAGGGAACGCGATCGGGAGAAAACGATGGGATTGGATCGACTGGAAAACACGTTCAGTTTAGCCACCGATGAGCCCGTTGATGAGGTAAAAGGGTTGTGTATATAGTAAAGTAGTGTACTGAGTACTCTAGAGCTTAGTTCATAGTAAGCTACAGTACTATTTTGCATAACAAAGTGTTATTAGTGCATAGTACGGTAAAGTACAGTTGAGTAAGTGGTGCACAGTACTACTACTTTACTAGGACAGACTACTGTATATTGTGGTGTAGCGTAGGGTAGTAAAGTAAAGCCAGGCCTTCCTTGTACATAGTACAATAGTACTTGTAATCTTTATTTCAAAAACCACATTTCTTCTTTTAGATACTGTCCCGGGTGACCGCGCAGGTGATCAACGCGGAAGCAACCGTGAGAAACTGGACGAAAGTGGGTTTAGTTTTCTAATTAGATATAAAATCTGGCTATATTCTGCAACTTATCGACTTTAAATCAGCCATTTTTAGGTTACAGCTCTTCCCGTGACGGGAATCGTTCGACCGGATCGCTTTGAATCGGGCGTGTTCGCGCGTCTTCACGGCCGCGTCACTCGCTACAATATAAAGTCGGAAAAAGTGGTCATTGGAAGGTAAAACATTTATCTCTATAGTACTTATCTATGTAAATTTTCATTTAGAAGTACAGCGGATTCATCGGCGGACGTGAACTTGGCGCTAGAGGGACCGGCGTTGAAAATCTCGAGGAAACAGGTGCGTTTGCGGCGGGGATTTACCGTATTCTTTTGATAATGGTTTAAAAAGTGTTTAGCCAGTATATTTAAAGCTAAAAATTATTTCGTTAAAGTGTTTAAATCAGTTTTAAACGTATTACACGAACTTTTTACCAATAGAAACACTCTAGACCAACCTAAACTTGTCAACGGGTTACGCTAGCTTTGACGACATTTAAGCCATAAAACCGTTACCAAAAGATTACGATAACATTTGTGCAATTTAGGCAATCATGGAACGCCGCGCGAATGATGGCTGGTGGTTGCAGTGTGTCGGCCAACGCCCAATGCTCGTCGACTCGCGCGCTCTGATGCCCGGTGAATCGACGAAATTGTACGATGGCGCGTATATTGAGGTGAGTGCTTTGGATTAGCTGGATATTTCTATATTTTTATGCATTACGGTAGTCTATTTAGAGCTAAACTTTATCATGGAAAGAGCTGGGCTTTTTCTTTAGCTTTCAAAAGCTAAACTCTTACCTAAGCTTGAGATGTCTAGTCAACTGCAGTTTTTGAGCTACCTTTAATGTTTTGCGAGCTAAATCAAAGCCGATATTAGCGAAAGCGGTCTATTTTAAATCTCCAACTAATCCCACCATTTTCTAGATCGCTTTCCTCCGTCTGCGATTCTGTTGTGCTCCAATGTCCGGTGGTCAATCTCAGCCAGCATCGGCTTCGTCATCAATGAGCACTCCGCACACTGCCGCGATGCCCTTGGGAGGGACTGGAATGAGCGGAAGTGGAAGTGGAAGTGCCAGTGGACGGTAGGACGAGGAATGGCGGCGGGACGAGGTGTTGTTGCTGATGGGTGGATGATGCGGTTGATAAATCACTCGGACGGGGGTTCCAATCTGAAATTTACATATATCATTTATAACTGGATAATTAATTCTATCTGTAGTCCTGACTTTTTATATCATTTTCTGTTATCTAGATAATCAAATCAAGCTCAAGCCCCAGTTTTTTTTCTACAATTTGCCTACTAAAATTTACATTCAATCCATCCAGACCTGAATTTGGACTTAGAAATTTTTAGATCTAGATAAAATCCTATATCTACGGTATCCATTTGTCGAAATTTTCATCCATTTTTCCTTTTTATGTCCCATAAACGGTTACGTGCGCTCCAAAAATCGGTTGTTTTTCGAGTTTTCTCCTATTTTTTCCCCAAAAATTGTTGTTTTGATACATGTACAAACAAAAAGAACATTCCCTGATCATTTTAATATTTTTCTTCTCTCTCTATCTTGTTCTTTCATTGCTGGTATAAAATACATAGAATTTCATAAGTTCAAGGCTGAACTTGAACTACAAAATGTGCAGAAAAAAAAAGTTATTGTAATTTGGGGGAAGAGTGCCTCAAAAATATTAATTTAGGTAGTTAAAATGTTGGAGTTGAGTAGTTAAAGTGCTTGAAAAACCCGTAAATTGTTGATGAGTTATTGTAGTTGGATAAAAGTGTTTCAAAATGTTATCAAATGGAACCCTCATTATTTGTAAAGCGATTCGCGCAGAACTTTTCTGTTTTCTAGACTGATTTTTGCTAAACTTTTCGCAATTCCGTTGAAAAATAACAAATTCACCAATTAATCTACTGTAATAGTAAATAAGTGACCTTTCGAATAAAAAAAAATCGTAGTTCAATTGGTGCATTTGTTGGTTTTAAAGTACGAACGGAAGTACGAAAAGAAACGAAAAGACTTTTGTTTAATAATTCCCGTGTTTAATAATTCCCACACTTTAACGGTCTATAACTTTTTCCAGAGACTATATTTTTGCTAACTTTTTAGATCATTGTACAGATGACATTTCAGGCTTTCAAATGATACCAAATAGAGGTTGATTCGACTTTTCATTCCTATGCGAACAAGGCGAATTGGAAACGAATGGGAAACGAATGGGGAACGAATTGGAAACGAATGGGGACGAATCAGCCATTTTGGTTTACGGTTCCAATATGGTTCGGACACGGTTCAAATATGGTTCCAATACGGTTCCAATACGGTTCCAATATGGTTCCAATACGGTTCCAATATGGTTCCAATATGGTTCGGTTACGGTTCAAATATGGTTCCAATACGGTTCGGTCGGTTTCAATTGGTTCCAATCGGTTCCAATCGGTTCCAATATGGTTCCAATATGGTTCGGTTACGGTTCAAATATGGTTCCAATACGGTTCCAATATGGTTCGGTTACGGTTTCAATATGGTTCCAATACGGTTCCAATACGGTTCCAATATGGTTCCAATATGGTTCGGATACGGTTCCAATATGGTTCGGATACGGTTCCAATATGGTTCCAATACGGTTCCAATATGGTTCCAATATGGTTCGGATACGGTTCCAATATGGTTCCAATCGGTTCCAATACGGTTCCAATATGGTTCGGATACGGTTCAAATATGGTTCCAATATGGTTCCAATATGGTTCGGTTACGGTTCCAATATAGAAATAGAAACAAATAGAAACCAAAATGGAACCAAATCTGTACCCAAAAAGAACCAAATCTGAACCAAATCCGCCCTAAATGGGAAACAAATCGGGTCAAAATGTGAATCGAATCGGAAATCGAATCGACCTATGCCTCATTTGCTCAGAGTTGGGTTTGATTTTCTTGGATTAGATTTTTCAATCAACCTCTATTTGGTATCATTTGAAAGCCTGAAATGTCCTCTGTACAATGATATAAAAAGTTAGCGAAAATATTGTCTCTAGACAAAGTTATAGGGCTTCAAAGCGGGCGATCCGTTGGAGTCCGGGAATTATTGAACACTGTGATATCAGAGTCAAAAGGCCATCGTAAACCCGAGAGCCTGGATAGCCCTGGGATACTGTAGTAATAAAAAAGTGCTTTGAAAATGTGAAAACTTCAAAACTAAAGTTGAAAACCCGTACTTGGCTAAATGTTGTGGTTGTCGATTGACGGGCAGCGAGTCGGAGGAGAGTTGTTTGGGGAGAGGATTGCCGGGTTGAGGCTGAGGCTGAGATGGGGATGGGGATGGCTGTTGTGGCTGTACAGGGTGCGCCCCGCCTTGTGATTGTGACTCATCCCGACTCATCTTGGGTTGCCTGCTGCCTGAAGAGGCCAAGGTCTGCGAAAATGAAAAAAACGGTTAGTAGAAGAAATGGAAAAAATTCGAAACATTTGATATTTATAGATACAGAAAGACGTGAAAGAAAAGGCGTTTTTCGGAAACGTTTTTGTAGAAGTACCGTATACCCTGGAGGCTGGGAGAGGCGAGTTTTCGCTACAGTACCCTACAGTACTCTACAGTGCCAGGATACGGTAGTAGGAAGCTGGGCAATGATTTATTTTCTAAGAATTAAAAATCTGAGCCATACCAGATGTTTACATGCTATCCAACTAAGAAAAAGCCAAAGTTTCATTAAAATTTGTCTACTCAAAAAGAAGTGATGAGGGTGAACACGTTTCGAAGCTATTTCGAAGGACTCTAAGTTGCCTCCCAGATCACCCAATCTCTAAGGACTCTAAGTTGCCTCCCAGATCACCCAGTTTTCAAGCAATTATCTTCAAATCTTCAAATCTGTAGCTAAAAAGCGCCCAATCTTTGACTGCAGTAGCCCATTTACCATAACGCGCCAAATAACTTTAAGTTGTTGCTTAGGACTCTAAGTTGCCTCCCAGATCACCCAGTTTTCAAGCAATTATCTCAAAATCTCAAAATCTGTAGCTAAAAAGCGCCCAATCTTTGACTGGAGTACTCCTTGAAACGTGTTCACCCTCATAACTTCTTTTTGAGTGGACAAATTTGAATAAAACTTTGGCTTTTTCTTAGTTGGATAGCATGTAAAAATTTGTGTTGAACAGATTTTTAGAAATAGAATTTTTAGAAATTTTTAGACCCGCTGTGCTGTACCTCTGTAAAAGTGTCTGTTCGTCGGTCGGTTCTCAGCTTTCTATGAGCCAATTTATATGCTTTTTAGTTTATTAGGCTTAAAATTCGATGTAGTTGTTTATCTCATATCTCGTTTTTTAAAAAACCAAAAGTCATGACACAGCCGGGAGTCGAACCCGGATCGTGTGGGTTGTAGACAAGCGTGCTGCCGACTGAGCCACGGGGGCGGAAAGACTTGTCGAGAAGAACTCGTAGTTAACCAGGTTTCTCAGTTTTTTTGGTTTTTTTGGCTTTTCTGGGTAATAAAGAGCTACATTATGACAGTAATTTTCGCGACTATTTAGCGACAGTTTACTGTAGGTTACTGTAGCTTAGATGCTTTTAGGTTACTGTAGGTTACTGTAGGTTACTGTAGCTTAGGTGCTTTTAGGTTACTATTTAGATTACTGTAGCTTACGTGCTTTATAAGGCTCAGCTTTTTCAGACAGGGTATACGGTAGTTTGTGTCGTGAAAGTTTCCCTCACAAAAGTGCTAGTGTTGTAAAGAAGTTTTAAACAAAACTACATCAACTTACCAAGTGGCTTTTTAGCGGCGCCCATGTTAAAGACGAAATTTCGCCAGCCCAATCGACGAGAACCCTGCTGTTGAGCAGCGGACAGGACACCCTGAAGATTGATTTTTAGAAAACGGATCCAAAAACGGATCCAGATAATGCTCTAGACAATCTAATGCTCTAGAAAAGATTCTAGAGCTTACTATTGGCTTACTATTGGCCTCGAGCTTACTATTGGCCTCGAGCTTACTATTGGCCTAGAGCTTACTCTTGGCCTAGAGCTTACTATTGCCTACTGCTCATAGCTTAGGCTTAGGCCTATCTAGCCAGGCATCAACACTATCTAGCCACGCATCAACAGACTCTGATACTCGGCTTTAAAGCTTGCTAGACTACCGTAAGCCTGGGTATCGTTAGCTCTAAAGCTTGGCTACCGTAACTACTCATAGCTTAGGCTTGAGCAGCCTATAGGTTTAAACCTTGGCTGATGCCTAGTTCGGTTACGGTAACATCGATTTAAGAGCCGGGCTGCTGTGGAATCATTTTTGAGGGTTACAAGGGAAAGGAGAAGTTGGTCTTGAGACTTAAGCTGGCCTCAAGGCCTCCAGAGCTTGGCCTCGGACTTGGACTTGGCCTCTTGCTTGGGCTAGGCCTCAAGGCCCCGAGAGCTTGGCCTCAAGGCCTTCAGAGCTAGGCCTTGGACTTGGACTTGGCCTCTTGCTTGGACTAGGTCGCAGGGCCTCGAGAGCTTGGCCTCAAGCGCCTCCAGAGCTAGGCCTTGGACTTGGACTTGGCCTCTTGCTTGGACTAGGTCTCAAGGCCTCGAGAGCTTGGCCTCAAGGCCTCGAGAGCTGGTCCTCAAGGCTTCAAGAGCTTGGCCTCGGGCTTGAACTTGGCCCCAAGGCTTCAAGAGCTTGGCCTCGGACTTGGACTTGGCCTTGAGATCTCGAGAGCTTGGCCTCGAGAATTAAGCTGGCCTTAAGGACTTCAGAGCTTGGTCTATCGCCCAGAAGATCCGGGTTCGATCTCCGCGTAGAAAGAGCTAGAAAGAGCTAGAAAGAGCTAGAAAGAGCTAGAAAGAGCTAGAAAGAGCTAGAAAGAGCTAGAAAGAGCTAGAAAGAGGTAGAAAGAGCTAGGAAGAAGCTTGGAAGAACTAGGAAGAGCTAGAAAGAACTAGGAAGAGCTAGAAGGAAGCTTGGAAGAAGCTAGAACGAAGCTTGGAAGAAGCTAGGAAGAGCTAGAAAGAGCTAGAAGGAGCATGGGTTTGTGAAGTGTTCTAAAACAGACACAAGATCTCCGACTCTATAAGATGGACTTGATCTCATCTCAAGGCAAATGACCAGCTCAATACCTTTCCCAGCTCTGTTTCAACTAACCTTGTAAATAGCTGATTTGACGAATCTCGGATACGAATCCTTATTCATCAACGTGAACACATGCTCTTCCGAATACGTAAACGCGTGTCTCCTCGGATTCCCCGAATTCAGCAACTCCATCGTTTTCTCCAGGGTTCGCTGGTCGACATTTACCTGAAAAAATTGAGCATGAGTGTTTAATTTTCATAGAAACGGGCCAGGTTAGCCCCGGACAAAGCTGTTGAATTAAACTGATCATTCAGTTTGATAAGGAAAAGCAAGCAAAGCCAAGCCGAAACCTAAGGCTGGACGATTAAAGAACTAGACTAAAATAGCTAGAACAATGAATCCAGGTCTGGAAGTGTGTCTAGCCTCAGCCTGACTTGACTCCTGAGCCAGACTTGACTCTCTAGACCAGTTAGAAGCTATATCTGGGCGGTGAAGCTCTATCTAAACAAATTTGGGTCAACTGGCTTGAATCCAGACTAAGCCTGGTCTGGACTCATTAAAATTTCCAGGATCTAGTCTTAGCTGGCCTAGGCCTAGGCTGGCCAGAGCTGTCCAGACCCGCCCAGATCTGTCCAGACCTGTCCAGACCAGTCCAGACAGGACCAGACCCGTCCAGACCTGTCCAGAGCCGTCCAGGCCTGTCCAGACCTGTCCAGACCTGTCCAGACAAGACCAGACCAGTGTAGACCTGTCCAGACCAGTGTAGACCTGTCCAGACCTGTCCAGACCCGTTCAGACCCGTCCAGACCCGTCCAGACCCGTCCAGACCCGTCCAGACCCGTCCAGACCCGTCCAGACCCGTCCAGACCCGTCCAGACCCGTCCAGACCCGTCCAGACCCGTTCAGACCCGTCTAGACCTGGACAGACCTCTCCAGACCCAACTGAAACAATCCTAGAGTCCAGTTAGCCAGCTGGCCTGAATCCAGATCTAGCTTATCCAGATCCAGATCTACCTAGCCCCAGTCTCATTTACAGTAATCAAACCCTGGAGCCTGTAAACTGGGGAACTGAGTACTGTAGTTAGTACTGGACTCAGGAATCGGATCTGAGTCCAGGATCTGGGTCCAGGATATGGGTCCAGGATCTAGGTCCAGGATCTGGGTCCAGGATCTAGGCCCAGAATCTGGGTCCAGGAATCGTATTCTAACAACAGTTATCAAAGCTAGCCTCTAAATCTTTTCGTTTGAGCGTACCTGACACGGCGCTCCAGGCCCTAAAAACTCTTCATAGATGCGTTCAGCTTTGGACTCGATTTCGGCATTTGCCGAGTATTTGAGATCCTGGATCGCGATCCAGAAGCGAATGTTTTCCGAGGAGAATTCGCTTTCCAAGAATGTTTCAAGGACCTGAAAACTTTCGGTATTGGATATTTCAAGAACCCGGTATTGCATATTGTAGTTTAAAGTGTTGTAAATCGGTTACTATTAGGCTGTATGGACTAGGGAATTGAAGCTATCTAGCTAGGAATATTTTTGATGTAAATAATGTTAAAAAGCTCTTAAGACAATGTTTTATTAACTAAATCCTAATTTTATCATAAAAGGAAAAAGATGATCTCGGGCGGGATCGAACCGCCGACCTTCTGTGTGTTAGACAGATGTGATAACCACTACACCACGAGACCGCTTGACCGGTCTGTGAAAAAAGGGGTCTTATCAATGATCTGTGGGTAAAATTGGCTAAAATCTGGCTAGACTAAAAAGCTTTGTTGGTCGGTTAAGACCGGATTTTTCCGGCCGGTCTCTATTGTCGCCATGGCGCAGTCGGCAGCGCCCTGGTCTGCAAGCCGCACGATCCGGGTTCGACTCCCCGTAGTGACGCTCAATCTCGACTTTTCAAATTTTGTTTTAGATGGCAGAACTATATTATATTCTAAGGTTTTCTACAGAAATTAGCATTAGACTTTTGGCTTTATTGATCTCTAATCTGTAGCTAAATTTGACTAAAATCTGCTGATCGATAGCTGATCACTAGCTGATCACTAGCTGATCACTAGCTGATCACTAGCTGATCACTAGCTGATCACTAGCTGATCAAGTGCTTTGAAGAAAGGCGAGCTTCTGTGGCCTATTGGACAGGATTGGACGGGGGTTTTATTGGACCTTGGCCTACAAAGCCTAGGTTACAAAGCCTTGCCTACAAAGTCTTGCCTACAAAGCCTTGCTTACAAGGGCTGGGCCTAGGCTGGCCTAGAGTCAAGTTTTACTGGACCTTGGCCTACTAGGCCTTGCCCACTAGGCCTTGCCTACAAAGCCTTGCCTCCAGGGCTGACTCTAGGCCAGCCTAGGCCCAGCCCTAGCTTAATACAGCCTAGCTTTATACAATACCTGTCTCCCAATCGGATCTTTGACCAATTCTTGCACTGATAAACCCCATCGTTTCACCCGTCGCTCCGTGGGCACTTCGACTCTGGAAAGGACTCATAGATCAATTTCTATCCAATCAACTCACGCATCCGTATTCAATGTCCACAATTGTGTATCATCAGTGATCCACGGATTCGAGGGTTGCGGCTGGGCTAGTAGTGGATCGTAGTCATGCAGCTGGTCGACCCATTGGACCATTCTGGAATCAGGAATCAATGGATATGATACAGTCGTCTATATTGCTCTTACAGGGTCCTGCAAGTTCTGCAGGCTATTTCAAGACCTAAGATCCTATGAGATTCAAGAATAGGTCTCCATTTAGAGTCAAGAGTTCTTCTGGGAACAGGTCCTGTCAAGTTCTCATCTTCTGGGTCTTTTGGGACCCCAGAATAGTGTTCCAGGTCTTACTCTAGTCACAAGTTTAGTGGAAAATGCATAGTTTGATTTCTGAGCCACTATAAGGCGTTAGATTCTAGAATTTGTAAGACAGTAGGATACGGTGAAGCCGCAAAAATTGAAGTACGACAACTTCTGCTAGTTCGCGGCTAATACGCGCTGCTTTATATACGCCGCCTTATATACGCCGCCTTATATACGCCACCTTCTATACGCCGTCTTATATACACCGTCTTATATACGCCGCCTTCTATACGTCGCCTTAAATACGCCGTCTTATATACGCACTGCCTTGTATGCCCGCCGCTTTATATATCAACCGCCTTATATACGCGCTGCCCTATATACGACCGTCTTATATACGCGTTTCCCCTGTATCGGCCGCCTTATATACGCGCTGCCCTATATCGGCGGCCTTATATGCCCGCCGCCCTATATATCGACCGCCTTATATACGCGCTGCCCTATATCGACCGTCTTATATACGCGTTTCCCCTGTATCGGCCGCCTTATATACGCGCTGCCCTATATATCGACCGCCTTATATACGCGCTGCCCTATATCGACCGTCTTATATACGCGCTGCCCTATATCGGCCGCCTTATATACGCGCTGCCCTATATCGACCGCCTTATATACGCGCTGCCCTATATCGGCGGCCTTATATGCCCGCCGCCTTATATATCGACCGCCTTACATACGCGCTGCCCTATATATCGACCGCCTTATATACGCCCAGCTTTATATATCGGTCGCCTTATATATCGGTCGCCTTATATACGCGTCGCCTTCTATATCGGTCGCCTGATACATGCCTTATTAGCGTCTAATATAACTCCAAAATCCCTGTTATTCCAGGCACCTAGTGTTTTAGTCTAGACAACCAAATGAATTCATCAAAGCACTCACGTGTCCGACGCTTTCAACGCTTTCAGCCAGGGTTTCGTCTTGATCGAGAATTTCAAGCGTTCCACGAGATTTCGGTAACCGGCCGCAGTGGCTTTTCGCAAACGTCGTTCCACCTAAACAGTGATTACATTAGTTTTTCAAAAAAATCCCCACTTTCTGCACGTGTTGCTCTAAACAATTCGCTGTTCCTGGTCTTCTCATTCGCCAAAAAGCCCGTTCCTCGCTGTCATAAACGACCTAGAAAAGGATTGATTAGCTTGATAGCTTGATCTTCCTTCTTTCTCTCTTCCTTCTCGTCTTCCTCTTCTTCCTCTTCTTTCCCTTCTTCCTTCTCTTCCTTCTCTTCCTCCTCTTCCTTCTCTTCCTTCTCTTCCTTCTCTTCCTCTTCTTCCTCTTCTTTCCCCCCTCTTTCCCCCCTCTTTCCTTTCCTACCTTGTCCGCTTTTTTCTTTTCCTTTTGTTGTTTGAGTTGAAGTTCGGCTTGAGCTGTGATAAAGCCCCACATATGAGCGAGTAACTCAGCCAGCTTGTTGTAGGCATCAATCTAATAATAAATTGAAGCTAAGCTAAGCTAAATAAAGCTATCCCTTTACCTCATCTTCTTCAAGTCCATGTCGTTGCTCATTTCTCAGCAAGCGTTTGTTCAAATAGATGGCTAAACGAGAGATATGGGTTCTTGTTTTCAAATTACATTCTTGGGCCCTAGATTTTTGGGCCCTAGATTTTTGGGCCCCTTCTGTTTGCTAGGGTTCAAGCTTTGCTGACTACTCTGACTACAAGAGCCAGAATTTCGCAGAAAATTGATCATTGGGTTTGGAGGAAATTGATGAATGGTGATACTGTGAATCAGGATTACGAATTTGAAAGGACTACGGTACTTTTCGACAATAACTTAGCTATTTCAACTATTTAATCTTGTTATCTGGAACTCACAACGGTTAACGATCAGTTAAATTATTAGCTTTCACGGAAATTGATGAATGGTGATACTGTGAATTAGTTTTAAAGGGATTACGGTACTTTTCGACAATAATTTGCATATTCTAAGTATTTAATCTTGCGATCTGGAACTCACGACAGTTAACGATCAGTTAAATTATTAGGTTCCATAGAAATTGACGAATGGTGATACTGTGGATGAGTTTTGAAGGGATTACGGTACTTTTCGACAATAATTTGCATATTCTAAGTATTTAATCTTGTGATCTGGAACTCACAACGGTTCGCTTTTCTAATTAAAAAACCCGTAGCTCAATTGATGCATTTTTTGATTTTAACCGAAAGTCCAAAAAGGAAGGGAAAGAGAAACTTTTGTAAATTCCTTTAATTTTCAATATCTAACCGTCGTGAGTTCCAGATCACAAGAATAAATACTTAGAATATGCAAATTATTGTCGAAAAGTACCGTAATCCCTTTAAAACTAATTCACAGTATTAGGTTGGTGCAGATGAAACTTCCGTTGGAACCATAAACAAAATTTATTATAAAAATCCTAATACAGAACCTCAATCCAAAAGATATTCGCCATCATTATCAATGACTCTTTGCCATCTTCCACGCAGAGAATGGATGCCCTTTTCGAAGAACTCGGGCAACTGCGACTCGAAGAAGTTGGACACCCAGATTTCAACTTCTTCGCGGTTTTTGAATTTTTTTTCTGCTAAAGAGTGCTGCATCGAACGAAACAAGTGGTAGTCGGATGGGGCCAAGTCCGGGCTATATGGCGGATGAGGCAGAACTTCCCAGCCCAATTCCTCGATTTTCTGCTGAGTGGTCTTTGCGGTGTGGGGTCGAGCGTTATCGCGAAGCAATTTTGTAGTCGCTGTGTTATTGCCTTGACGACGCAATGCCTGGTCCACGCGACTCAATTAGGTTTTGTAGAGATCCGCCGTGACTCTTTGGCCCGAATCCAGCACCTCAAAATACACGAGACCTTTACTATTCCACCAAATACAAAGCATCACCTTTTTTCCGTGGATATTCGGTTTGGGAGTCGGTTTTGGCGGTTCACCGGCGTCCAACCACTGCCGTTTTCTTGTTGTGTTGTCGTAACATATCTACTTTTCATCTGCCGTAACAATAGAGTCGAGAATTCCAGCCATTGTAGCTCGAGCCGCTTTGTTTGCGTCGCTGAGCTGATGTGGCACCCATTTTCCACACCGATTCGTCTTACCAATTGCGTGCAAATGGCGGAGTATGGTTGTATGGTCGCAGTCAAACAGCTCTGCAAGCTCCCGAGTTGTTTGGCATGGATCCGATTCGATAGCGTTCTTCAACTCATCGTTGTCGACAATTTGAGGCGGATTCCCGCGTTTTTCGTCTTCCAAACTCTCATCACCGTCTCGGAAGCGCTGAAACCAAGTCCGGCATTGACGTTCGGACAACACGTCATCGCCGAATGCTTTGCACAGAGCACGATGAGATTCCGCAGGCGTTCTGCCTTGTTTAAAATCATACAACAAGCAAACCCGCACTCGAAATTTTTCGCCAACCATTTTCTAGAAGCTAAAAATTACTTCAAATTAAGTAAAACGCTTAAGGCTTAGATATCAAAAGACGCGCAAAGAGACGCTCTTTCAGATAGACAAATATCTTCAATAAAAACTTTTATTAGGTTCAAAATATAAACAAACAAGTGTGACGGAAGTTTCATCTGCACCAACCTAATATCACCATTCATCAATTTCCGTGAAAGCTAATAATTTAACTGATAGCTAACCGTCGTGAGTTCCAGATCACAAGATTAAATACTTAGAATAGCTAAGTTATTGTCGAAAAGTACTGTAATCCCTTCAAAACTCATTCACAGTATCATCATTTGTCAATTTCCGTAGAACCTAATAGTTTTACTGATAGTTAACTGTCGTGAGTTCCAGACCGCAAGAATAAATAGTTAAAATAGCTAAGTTATTGTCGAAAAGTACAATAATCCCTTCAAAACTCATTCACACTCTCACCATTCATCAATTTCCTCTAAATCCAATGATCATTTTTCTGCGAATGATCATTTTTCTGGCTCCTGTAGTGGCCAGCAAAGCAGAGTGGCCAGCAAAGCAGTAAAGTAGTCAGCAAAGCTAAGCAAAGATCATTTTCGTCAGTTTCTATAACTTTTCTTTAAGCCATTTCACGATTCCCTTATTTCCAGTCAAATTTCTATCCAATTTCAGCAAAATTCTAGCCAATTTCAGCTTGTTTAGCGTTGAATTTCCCCTCATAAACCGTTATCAAAGCCGTTATCAAAGCCATTATTGTCTCAAAGAGAAGCCGTTTCTTTTTTTTCTAGATAAACATTTTATGATACTCAGTTATTTGTTTTATTCAATGGGTTTTCAAGAATGTGCCATTCAAAAGGGAAATGTGCCATTTCCGAGGAAATCTTTGAGATTATCCATCATGATTATCCGTCATTATCAGAATCTCTTTCGACGCTGCGGGGATTTGTAGATCGAGACGAATTAGTGGATAAGAGGACGTGATTTTGGTGAAAGAAAGGCTTAAAGAGAACGTGGGCGGTACATAGAAAAGTATGGGGGGAAACGTAGTAATGGGGAAAACGATTGGGGAAAACGAGTTTCCCTATCGATTCGTACGTGAAAAACACGATATGAGGCTATTTAACTGGCTGGCTGGCTGGCTTTAGCTGGCTAGCTTAGGCCAGTTTCAAGCCAGCTTAAGCCTGTTTCAAGCTAGCCTATTCCAAGCCAGCTTCTGCCTGTTCCAAGCCAGCTTCTACCTGTTCCAAGCCAGCCTGTCCCAAGCCAGCCTGTCTCAAGTCAGCCTGTTCCAAGCCAGCTTCTGCCTGTCTCAAGCCAGCTTCTACCTGTCTCAAGCCAGCTTCTGCCTGTCTCAAGCCAGCTTCTACCTGTCTCAAGCCAGCTTCTACCTGTCTCAAGCCAGCTTCTGCCTGTTCCAAGCCAGCTTCTGCCTGTCTCAAGCCAGCTTCTGCCTGTCTCAAGCCAGCTTCTACCTGCCTCAAGCCAGCTTCTGCCTGTCTCAAGCCAGCTTCTGCCTGTCTCAAGCCAGCTTCTGCCTGTCTCAAGCCAGCTTCTGCCTGTCTCAAGCCAGCTTCTGCCTGTCTCAAGCCAGCTTCTGCCTGTCTCAAGCCAGCTTCTGCCTGTCTCATGCCAATTTAGTCTATCTCCAGGTTTGTCTCAGGTTTAAAAACACTTTCTTTAGTTGAAGCCTTTAGTTGAAGCCGTCTCTCCAAGGCTAAATCTAGAGCCAAGCCAAAGCCAAAGCCAAATTCAAAGCTTGGCTTTGGCCAAGTTTAGTTCAAAAGCTTTTCTTTCAATCTAGATACTAGAAATCTAGAGTCTAGAATCTAGTTACTTTACTATCTAGTTACTTTAACTATCTAGTCACTTTACTATCTAGTTACTTTACTATTTAGTTACTTTACTATTTAGTTACTTTACTATTTAGTTACTTTACTATCTAGTTACTTTACTATCTAGTTAAAGTAACTAGATAGAACTCGATACTCCAAAAATCCTATTGAAAATTGTAAGGAAAGAGGGAAAAGGATGAAAGTGAGAGGGAAAAGAGTGAAAGAAAGGGAAAGAACGTGAAAGAACGTGAAAGAGGATTGGAAAAAAAGGAAGCATTGGCCAAAAATCGATTCTTTTCCTCACCCAGCCCGAGCGCAGGTCTAGAGAAAGCCAAAAAATCGTTCATTTCAAAGAAATGAAATGAAAATTAGCATTTAAATGTTTTCTAATAAGAAAGATAAGAAATATAAGAAAAAGGGGGCTTAAAAATGATTGAATAATGCTATATAACAAGTAAAAAAAGGTCAGGAAAGAAAATACATTTATTGAAAAGCAATAATGTGATACAAACAAAGGGTACATAATAAGACATAAAGGTTAAACACACAATTTTATGGCACTGCGGCCGTTCTCACCCCTATTTACCCCTATTACCCAAATGTTGTGAAAGAAAAAAACCCACTTGGTGGGAAAAAGAAACATTTCTATCTTGCCAGAGTGATTGAAACCCTCGACCTTCCGCTTAAGAGACAAGACTCCTAGCCGGTCGGCCATCTGGCCATCTGGAACAAGGAAAATTCGTTTAAAAGAGGGATTAGGAAGGTTTTATGATAAAAGATATCCAAAAAATGATAGCTAAATGATGAAAGATATCAAGAAATGATAGCTAAATGATAAAAGATATCCAAAAAATGATTACTAGATGATAAAATCGATCTACAATAGGTTAAATAAGTCAAATAAATCACTGTAATAGGTCAAAGAGGTCAAAAATGACTCAAACGACTCAAAAACAACTCAAACGACTCAAACGACTCAAAAACGACTCAAAAATGGCTCAAACGACTCAAACGACTCAAACGACTCAAAAATGACTCAAACGACTCAAAAATGACTCAAACGACTCAAAAACGACTCAAACGACTCAAAAACGACTCAAAAACGACTCAAAAACGACTCAAAAATGACTCAAACGACTCAAAAATGACTCAAAAATGACTCAAAAACAACTCAAAAATGACTCAAACGACTCAAACGACTCAAAAACAACTCAAAAACGACTCAAAAATGACTCAAAAACGACTCAAAAGTGACTCAAACGACTCAAACGACTCAAAAATGACTCAAAAATGACTCTAAATAAGACTATTGCAAGGAAACATACAAGTTCAATGCTTTTAAATAGTTGCTGCTTTTAAACTGACAAGAGAAAGGGGAAACTGGCTGAGACAAATGCTATTTCTGAGCTATACCAATTGCAGAATTTTATGCTGATTCCGAATCTATATTCCATTTTTGCTAAATGACAGTCTGTCAAGAGTACAGTCTGTCAAGAGTACAGTCTGTCAAGAGTACAGTCTATCAAGAGTACAGTCTATCAAGAGTACAGTCTGTCAAGAGTAAGTCTGTCAAGAGTACAGTCTGTCAAGAGTACAGTCTATCAAGAGTACAGTCTGTCAAGAGTACAGTCTGTCAAGAGTACAGTCTGTCAAGAGTACAGTCTGTCAAGAGTAAATGATAGTCTGTCATAAGCGTCTAAAGTCTGTTTGTCTGTTGGTCTGAAAATGGCGGTGGCTTTGGTGGCTTTCTTGCCTTTTAGGGAGCTCCTTGCTTTTTAGCGGCCTTTTTGCACGGCTGACTGCTTTAACGGCCTTCTTAGCGAGCCTTTAACGGCCTTCTTTTCCGTACGTGCGTGGCCGAGTGGTAAAACCTTCGTTTCCAAAGCTGGGACCTCGCGAGTTCAATCCCGGCTTTGGATTTGTTTTGCTTTTTTTAGGACCGGTATTCTCAGACAAATTCTACTGTAGATATCTAATATCTAAGCTATCTAGATACACCGAAAATTTCCCTTTCACTCACCATACTCGACGTTGTCCGTTTGTGTGGAGTGTGACGGCCAAAAGTACGGTCGTTGTAATCGGTAAAGGGTACCATCGTCGCGAACCTGGAATCATCTAGATATATTGATATTTGATAGATCTAACTATCTACTATATATAAAGAGTGTCTGTCTGTCTGTCTGTCTGTCTGTCTGTCTGTCTATCTGTCTATCTGTCTATCTGTCTATCTGTCTGTCTATCTGTCTGTCTATCTATCTCTCGCCCGTTCCACAGCCTATTTCTCAGCCGTCTTTAGACCAATAAACCTAAAACTTGTTTAGAAAGCCTTAGAATATAAACTAGTTCTGCCATTTAAAATAAAAATTTGAAAAAGTTAACACTCAATGCCGCTACGGGAGTCGAACCTGCACCGTGTGGGCTATAGAAAAGCGCACACCCCACTGCGCCACGACGACCACTGAAGACCCGTCCGAAAAACCTGCTTAAGAATGGGTTTTCTGGGTGAACCGCGGCCAACCTCGGCGATCAAAGCAACTTTAAACCTGCTTAAGGGCGGGCTTTTCTGGCTCCCTCGGATTGTCATCATGGCGCAGTGGGGAACACGCTCGTCTAGACCCAAACGGTCCGGGTTCGACCCCCGGCTGTGACTTGGTTTTTGCTTTTTTAAAAAACGAAATTAGAAATGCAGAAGTAAATCGAATTCTAAGCCTAATAAAGTCAAAATGAACTAGAAAAATCTAGTTCTAGAGGCTGGAAGACACTGTTAATTGAAATAAACAATTGAATTCAGTCTTGACGGACTTTTTTGTCTTTTTGTACTCTATTTGAAAAAGAAAAGCTGAAATCGGGTTTTAAATGATCGAAAATCGAATGCTAAACACTTTCTTCGCGTTTAGCTTCAACACTTTCTCCTTTCTTCTTCACGTTTTTGAGGAAAACTCATGTTTTCGTCATTTCAAATTACGAAACTCAGCCGCTAACGAATGATGGGTATTTCCGGGCATCGAATCAAAAAGTCAGCCACATAAAAATGTTCATAATACATATATTTTATAATAAATTTTTGAAATTAGCTCATTTGGTTCAGGAGAAAATTTTTTTTGAGCCGCCAAAGTTTAGGTTCAAAAATGGGGATCTTTAAAATGGCTATAAAAAATTTTCTACTCAACCAAAAAACTTGCCTAATAGCTCATTTTGTAGCCAATTTAATGTAGTTTCTTAAAGTAAAGCTACATTGAACATTTGTTTTTCAAAGCTAGGAGAAAGAGGGCGAGGAACGACTTCAGTTGAACTCGGTCGCTGTTTTCACATTTGAGAATTGCCCTGAATTTGTTCCTCGCCCTCTTTCTCCTTCCTGCAACGAAAAATTGTTTTAGATGGCTTTACTTTAAGAAACTACATCAAATTGGCTACAAAATGAGCTATTAGGCAAGTTTTTTGGTTGAGTAGAAAATTTTTTATAGCCATTTTTGAACCTAAACTTTGGGGGCTCAAAAAAAATTTTCTATTGAACCAAATGAGCTAATTTCAAAAATTTATTATAAAATATATGTATTATGAACATTTTTATTTGGGTGACTTTTTGATTCGATGCCCGGAAATACCCATCATTCGTTAGCGGCTGAATTTCGGTAAGCGGCTACGACATATACAAAAAAGAAAAGTGTTCAAGCTTTGTTTAGCTTTTTTTAGAAAGCTGAGAAATAAGCTTTCAATAATACGATGAGAAAAAAGCTTTTAGACAGCTTTTAGAGAGCTTTTAGAGAGCTTTTAGACAGCTTTCGATCAGCTATTGATCTAGTTTTATTGTGCGATTCTTATCGTTGAAATGAACAAACGATTTGCGCGTGCTCGATCACCGGGAACAGATATCCATATTGTAGTAGAAGAGTGGCCAAATGTGTGGCCTCAGTCTCGTCCTCGGCGTGACCTTTCTCACCGACTACAGCCACCTGTAAACTTTGAAGATGAGTTTAAAAGGCTTTAAAAGACTCTAGAAGACTTTAAAAGACTTTAAAAGACTCTAAAAGACTCTAAAAGATCTTAAAAGACTGTAAAAGACTTTAAAAGACTTTGAAGATGACTTTAAAACACTTTAAAAGGCTTTAAAAGGCCTTAAAAGACTCTAAAAGACTCTAGAAGACTCTAGAAGATTCTAGAAGACTCTAGAAGACTCTAGAAGAGTCTAGAAGACTCTAGAAGACTCTAGAAGAGTCTAGAAGACTCTAGAAGACTCTAAAAGACTCTAGAACACTCTAGAAGACTCTAAAAGACTGTAAAAGACTCTAGAAGATTCTAGAAGATTCTAGAAGAGTCTAGAAGACTCTAAAAGACTCTAGAAGATTCTAGAAGACTCTAGAAGAGTCTAGAAGACTCTAAAAGGCTCTAGAAGACTCTAGAAGACTCTAGAAGACTCTAGAAGACTCTAGAAGATTCTAGAAGACTCTAGAAGATTCTAGAAGATTCTAGAAGAGTCTAGAAGACTCTAAAAGACTCTAGAAGATTCTAGAAGACTCTAGAAGAGTCTAGAAGACTCTAAAAGGCTCTAGAAGACTCTAGAAGACTCTAGAAGACTCTAGAAGACTCTAGAAGATTCTAGAAGACTCTAGAAGATTCTAGAAGACTCTAAAAGACTCTAGAAGACTCTAGAAGACTCTAGAAGATTCTAGAAGACTCTAGAAGAGTCTAGAAGACTCTAAAAGACTCTAGAAGACTCCAGAAGACTCTAGAAGATTCTAGAAGATTCTAGAAGACTCTAGAAGAGTCTAGAAGACTCTAAAAGACTGTAAAAGACTCTAGAAGATTCTAGAAGACTCTAAAAGACTCTAGAAGACTCTAGAAGACTTTAAAAGACTCTAAAAGATGCTAGAGCATGAAGAGAGTGGCATTTAAACGTCAACTACGCGACTAAACGTCAACTACGCGACTGTACGGCTTTCAAAATGACTCTATTCGATTCACTCACCAAACTCTGTCCTGTTAACGCTTGTGGGACGGCCACTCGGAAATATTTGTGCGTTCGCAATTGAGCTGAGTCAAGCAGACGATGGCACAGAGTATCTAGCTGAAAATTTGATAATTATTATATGTAAATGATTGATTATTATTTTTAAATGATTAATTATTAATTTTAAATGATTTTGTTTATCAAATTAGGGTTTTAAGATCGATTTTGTACTTTAGCGTTTGCAAAAAAACTTAAAAAACTCAAAAAAACCAAAAAAAACTCAAAAAAAACTCTTTCTAGATTTCTTAAACCTTTCTTAAACCTTTTTAAACCATTTTTCTTGCTCTAAACTCTCAATTAACTGAATTTTATTTTATTAAATATAAATTCAGCATCTAAACAGCTAAAAGCGAGTTTCTATATGGCAAAAATTCGAATAGAAAAGTCTATAAAGGCATCGCCTCCTCGTCGTCGTCGCCTCTCAAATAAACCATCAGATCTTGACACCAGTGCATTTCTTTCAACATGTTTTGGTATCAAATTAAAGTAGAGAAAATGGGTGATATTTTAAGATCTAGCACTTCTTTTTAGCATTAACCAACACTTAGAAAAAGCTAGTTGAAAAGTAGCAAAAAAAGCCCGATTTTTCAACATCCAAAAATCAGCTCTTTTTTGCCACTTTTCTATCAGCTTTTTCTAAGTGTTGGTTAATGCTAAAAAGAAGTGCTAGCTCTCAAAATATCACCCATTTTCTCTACTTTAATTTGCTACCTTAGCGGACAGACACAAACGTACTGGTGTCAAGATATGAGCTTTTGTTTGAGTGTAAACTTATTGGAGCGTCGCGTCGTCTAAGTTCCCCCTCAAATAAATCCTCAGATCTTGACACCAGTGCGGTTTTTTCTGCACGCTTTGGTATCAAATTAAAGTAGAGAAAATGGGTGATATTTTGAGATCTAGCACTTCTTTTTAGCATTAACCAACACTTAGAAAAAGCTCGTTGAAAAGTAGCAAAAAAAGAGTCGATTTTTCAATCAAGATCTGAGCGTATTTGATGATTTGATCGAGATATAAGCGTTAATTTAGACTACGCCAGCTCCGATAGCGCTTCTATTACGGTATTTACAGTAATATAAGCTATAAGAAGCTATAAGAAGCTATAAGAAGCTATATGTCTATACATTAAAGCGCCAGAGAGTCTAAGCCTAAGCCTAAGCCAAGCCTAAGCCTAACAGACACGAGATCGACCTGAAAATTTGCCAGGCTCGTATGGGGCGAAAGCACAACACCAAACCGTGTACCTTAGCTCCGAGAACTCGCTGAGATCCAAAGAATGGGGGTTCAGCTCAAACCCAAATAGACTTAGTGCGAGGCGCTAGCCGCTAGTCCAAGCCTAAGCCTAAGCCTAAACCTAAGCCTAACCCAAGCCAAGCCTAAGCTTAAGCCTAACCCAAGCCAAGCCTAAGCCTAAGCTAAACCTAAGCCAAGCCTAAGCCAAGCCTAACCCAAGCTTAACCCAAGCCTAAGCCTAAGCTAAGCCTAAGCCAAGCCTAAGCTAGCTGATTAACTAGCTGACTAGCTAGCTGACTAGCTAGCAGATTAACTAGCTGATTAACTAGCTGATTAACTAGCTGATTAACTAGCTGATTAGCTAGCTGACTAGCTAGCTGACTAGCTAGCTGACTAGCTAGCTGACTAGCTAGCTGACTAGCTAGCTGACTAGCTAGCTGACTAGCTAGCTGACTAGCTAGCTGACTAGCTAGCTGACTAGCTAGCTGACTAGCTAGCTGACTAGCTAGCTGACTAGCTAGCTGACTAGCTAGCTGACTAGCTAGCTGACTAGCTAGCAGATTAACTAGCTGATTAACTAGCTGATTTGCTAGCTGATTAGCTAGCTGATTAGCTAGCTGATTAGCTGCCTGTTATCTAAATCTATAGCTCACCTTGCCCAGAGTAGACGTGGCCATGCTGCTAGCTGGCTAGGGCTAGGGCTAGAGCCCAATATCGATCAACAGGAGTTTAAATCAGCAATCACGAGCAATCACCCTCAACTTCATCAGAAATCAGATAGAAAAGCTGATAAAGCTTGATTAGAAAACAGACGATTGAAGGGGGGAAAAGAGGGTTGTAGTGAGTGGATCGGAGGGAAAGGATCGGAGGAAAAGGGATGGCCTGGGCGCTGCTCTCTTGCAATTGTCGTGCTCGTGTGGGGACCTCAAGCAGAGCGGTTGCGTCGCGGATTTTGGAGAGATTGGTAAGAGGTGGGGAAGGCCTAGGACCCTTTGAGAGCAGGGAAGAGGGGAGGAGAGGAAGAGAGGAAGAGAGGAAGAGAGAGGAAGAGAGAGGAAGAGAGAGAAAGACTAGAGATAGAGATTGATGCTTTTAGCTGCTCTCTACATCTCTAGAGTTTTAGAGAGAAAGAGGAAGAGAGGAAGAGAGGAAGAGATAGACTAGAGAGAGATTGGTAAACAAGTTTCTGGGTCCTAGACAGAGATAGTAAGGATTTAGAGATTGAGAAGAACGAGGACTTCTAGAGAGTTTGGAAAGCGACAAGATAGACAAAGATCTCTTGTTGGTTCAAGGTTTTTAGAGAGAAAGATGTAGAGATGAGGCTCTAGAGAGCTCTTAGAGAGGCACAAGTTCTAGAGATAGAAGAGAGCGAGAGATAGAAGAGATTGATAAAGAAATGAGAAAGCTATGAAGAGATAAGAGAGCTTGTTGAGAGGTTCGAGTCTTGAAAATGGATTCTAGAGATAGTATGGAACTAGAGAGATCTAGAGAGAGATCTAAAGATTTAAAGGCAGATCCTAAAGGAGAAGTCGGCTGAAGAAGAGAGAAGGAGAAGAGAGATGAGAGTTTAGAGATTGGAAGAGTCTAGAGATTTACCCTATTCCTAGGCTTGGAGAGAGAAGAGAGGCTTGGAGAGAGGAGAGTGGAGGAAGAAGAGGAAGAAGAGGAAGAAGAAGAGGGAGAAGAGGGAGAAGAAGAGGAAGAAGAAGAGGGAGAAGAGGGAGAAGAAGAAGAAGAAGAAGAAGAGGAAGAAGAAGAAGAAGAAGAAGAAGAAGAAGAAGAGGAAGAAGAGGAGGAAGAAGAAAGGAAAGAAAGAAGAGGAAGAAGGAAAGAAAGAAGGGAAGAGGATCAAGAATCCTTGTAAAGAAGCCTGGGTCCTGGTGATAGATATAGAGCTAGGAAGAGATGAAAAGCAGACAGAGTGGGTGAGATGTGCACTGAGATAGCTCGTAGACTCTGATGGACCTTGAAAATAGCTTTAGTCTAGAGATGAAAGCTATGTAAAGAAAAAGCCGACCTTTTATATAGACACCAAGATGTCGGAGACCCAGTCTAGCTAGAAAATGAGGTTACAGAAGCCTTTAGAGACCCAGAATAGTGGACAGCGGGCCAGCCAAAGGGCCAAAGGAGCCTGGAGAGCCAAAGAGGCTTGGAGATATTTAGAAAAACATAGAGAAGAGGTGAAAGGACTGTGCAGGGTGGGTCTAGATCTAGGGAAGGTTTAGAGAATGGGTCTAGATGAAGGGAAGGTTTAGAGGATGGGTCTAGATCTAGTGAAGGTTCAGAGCATCTAGGGTGACCTCTAGAAGAGACTGGCCCAGTTTGACTAAAGAAAGAATTCGAGAGTCCCCGTATTGCCCGAGATAAGCCTGAGTACTGGATCTTGATCTCCTGTCCTTGATTAGGCTCTGTCAGATATAGAGCAGGCTCAGAGGGCATTTTCCAACCTGTAGTATGATAGTATTAGTGTATTAGTGAGCGTCAATGTCATAGATGGTTTGAACGTTTTCAAAATAGTGATGAAAGCGGAGAAATGCTGAGGGAAAGGGTAGACTCTCGTCAAAAGTGCTCAACGAATATTTGCTTGAAATTATTGAGGATAATCTAGCTAGGAGAATCTAGCAGCAGCTAGGAGAATCTAGCAGCTAGCTAGGAGAATCTAGCAGCTAGCTAGGAGAATCTAGCAGCAGCTAGCAGAATCTTTGCCTTTTGTAAGAGGCCTAGATAAGATAATACCAACGATAATTGAAGATGAAAATGATCAAATTGGGAAAGAGAGGCGGCTGGGAGAATGGGTTTCTCAAGAATGGGTTCCAAGAATTGGATCCTCAAGAATTGACTCAATAAACGACAATAACTCCCACGTCTTAACGTTTGCTCGTTTCTTAACGTTTTCTTTGCCTTTCTTTGCTTTTCTTTTCTTCAAAAGTGATTTAAACGAGTTTTTTTCAATAGAATTTTGACTTCTGATAAGAAATTGATTAGCTATGAGAGTGTAAAACGAATTGGATTGCATTGCATTGCAATGTAAGGGGAAACCGTGGTCGAGTGCGCGCGCGGCGCCCCGTCCCATTGCCATTAGCGGCCTAACATCTGAGCTCAAAAATCTTGGCTTTGGTCTCTTCAATTGAAATGTTCTTGGTATCAATAGATTCGGCAAGTCTTTCTCTATCGATTGGTACAAAAGCTGTTCGAATTGGTCAGCTGAACACCGAGATAATGGAGCTTAAAGTCAGGTGGGCGCGCGACGATTAAGGCAGGCGCGCGACGATTAAGGCAGGCGCGCGACCCTTAAGGCAGGCGCGCGACGATTAAGGCAGGCGCGCGACGATTAAGGGCGCGACGCTTAAGGCAGGCGCGCGACGCTTAAGGGCGCGACGATTAAGGGCGCGACGATTAAGGGCGCGACGATTAAGGGCGCGACGATTAAGGCAGGAGCGCGACGATTAAGGGCGCGACGATTAAGGCAGGCGCGCGACGATTAAGGGCGCGACGATTAAGGGCGCGACGCTTAAGGCAGGCGCGCGACGCTTAAGGGCGCGACGATTAAGGCAGGCGCGCGACGATTAAGGCAGGCGCGCGACGATTAAGGCAGGCGTGCGACGCTTAAGGGCGCGACGATTAAGGCAGGCGCGCGACGATTAAGGGCGCGACGATTAAGGGCGCGACGCTTAAGGCAGGCGCGCGACGATTAAGGCAGGCGCGCGACGATTAAGGGCGCGACGCTTAAGGCAGGCGCGCGACGATTAAGGGCGCGACGATTAAGGCAGGCGCGCGACGATTAAGGGCGCGACGATTAAGGGCGCGACGCTTAAGGCAGGCGCGCGACGCTTAAGGGCGCGACGATTAAGGCAGGCGCGCGACGATTAAGGGCGCGACGATTAAGGGCGCGACGATTAAGGGCGCGACGATTAAGGGCGCGACGCTTAAGGCAGGCGCGCGACGCTTAAGGGCGCGACGATTAAGGCAGGCGCGCGACGATTAAGGACGCGACGCTTAAGGCAGGCGCGCGACGATTAAGGGCGCAACGATTAAGGCAGGCGCGCGACGATTAAGGCAGGCGCGCGACGATTAAAGGCGCGACGCTTAAGGCAGGCGCGCGACGTCAATCCCGCGCCAAAGTCTAGAGTTGTTGGTTCGGCTCTCCCGCGCACTTGAGAATTTGGGAGTCCAGGTTACTCAATTGACCTTAAAGCTGAGATTCATGAATCCTATATTGATAGTGGAAAGGATTGATGCATTTTGAGTTGTTGAAATCTAAAGAAACAGTTTCTATCGACCTCTACACAAAGCGATTAACCGCTTTGAAGCTTTGTTGACAAAGCTTTGAAGAAATTGAGCCTCAAATCGTTGAGAGTCACTTGAAAAGCTTCACTTCAAGCTTCACTGACTACTTTACATTCAAAACTCGAGTTTTTTTTGGGAATGGTAAACGTGTTTTTGCGTGCGATGAGAACAAGACATCGATAATAATGACGAAAACGAATGACGAACCTAAAGAAACAGTTTTTATCGACCTCTGCACAAAGCGATTAACAAGAGTTGGACTGAAACTTTTTCTTTCGTCTTTTTGTTTATCGTCTTTTGTTAAATAAGTTATCACCCAAAAACCATTTCATTGTTGCCAATCTAATGTTTGTAAGCATCCCAAGGATGATTCCTGAGCATGTAAGCATCCCAAGGATGATTCCTGAGCATGTAAGCATCCCCAGCATTCTTCCTGAGCATGTAAGCATCCCCAGCATTCTTCCTGAGCATGTAAGCATCCCCAGCATTCTTCCTGAGCATGTAAGCATCCCCAGCATTCTTCCTGAGCATGTAAGCATCCCAAGGATGATTCCTGAGCATGTAAGCATCCCCAGCATGCTTCCTGAGCATGTAAGCATCCCCAGCATTCTTCCTGAGAATGTAAGCATCCCCAGCATTCTTCCTGAGAATGTAAGCATCCCCAGCATTCTTCCTGAGCATGTAAGCATCCCCAGCATTCTTCCTGAGCTCTGTTTTGCATTGTTTCTGTATCTCTCGCTTCCAGGGTGGTCCTTGGGTTCCTAGACTTTTCCCTGAACAACTTGAACAGAACTTTTCAGGGTAGATCAAGAGATTAGGATCTGTAGATCTGTAGCTTTGACGATTTGAGCTCCAATTTCTGTGGATCTGTAGATCTGTAGGACAGGATTTGTAGAGCTATAGACTAGGATCTGTAGATATCTAGATCGGTATCTAGATTTAAGTAACCTGATTACTTTAAACATCGAACATGACTCTTTTAAACAAATCAGTGTTTTAACAATTCTTTTAGCCGATCCACGTCCCTTCAGCTCCATATGCTGCAATGGTGCCTCCAGGATCTGTAGACCAGGATCTGTAGACTAGGATCTATAGACTAGGATCTATAGACTAGTATCTATAGTCCAGTTTCTATAGACCAGGATCCATAGGCCAGGATCTGTAGACCTCCAGGCAAAACCCTATCCCCTTCCTGACTCGACTTTTCAAAGAAAAACCCTTCCCCTCCTCTTTCAAGCTTACTACACGTGGATTTTGTTTTCCGTTTTCTTTTCAGAAAAAAGGAAACCCGGTCATTGAGTGAGGTAATTGCTTGTTTCTTTGCTGATGTGAAGAAGAAGAGGTAGAAGAAGAGGAAGAAGAAGAGGGAGAAGAAGAGGAAGAAGAAGAG